GGGTTTAGGGTTTAGGGTTCAGGGTTTAGGGTTTAGGGGTTAGGGGTTAGGGGTTAACGGTTAGGGGTTAGGGGTTAAGGGTTGAGGCTTGATTGTTGAGACTTGAGGGTTGATCCTCTCCAGACTTTATTCCAAAACATTCTACACCCTAAACTGTGTGGGGTCTAGGGAAACCCCCAACCTCCTAGGGTCGTAAGTCCTCCAAGGGTTCATGGCCCGTTTTTGAACCAAGGTTTGATCCAAAACAGTTTCGATATGTTGTAAAAACCTTGAAAGGGTTTAGGGTTTAGGGTTTAGGGTTTAGGGTTTAGGGTTTAGGGTTTAGGGTTTAGGGTTTAGGGTTTAGGGTTTAGGGTTCAAAACCTAAACCCTAAACAAAAACAAGCAAGCACTCCCAACTCGCCAGGTCATACCACAGCCACTTCTGAGGGCGGCGCGAAACTTAACTACAGATACAAGCAGACAAACAACGTTCTTGCTTGATAGGGTTGAAAGGACTTTAGGGTTTGTAGGGTTTTGGGGGTTTAGGATGTCGGGTTTAGGGTCCAGGGTCTATAGCAGCCTGGGTTATGCCAGCGCCAGTTTTGGGATTGCTTGGTCCACAAACGTTTAGGGTTTAGGGTCCAGGGTTTAGACCACGCCTCAAGATTTTGTGGGCAAGATCCTTTGGCGCGTAAGGAGCAGCGATTCTGATTCTAGCATGGAGGCGTCCCTTCGAGCTCATCTAACGTCTACCTTTGCTAGGCACCCAGCCCCCAAACCCGAAGGTATGTTGATGCATCTTGTAGGTTAGGTATCGAAGCAACCACTCCACCGGGATAAGCCTTTTCTGCAAGCAGATGGGGAAAGGGGAGTCAGTTCAAGCTGAGACACTTTCTCAGTGCTGTACGATGTGTGGTGAACCGTTCACCGATTCTAGGTTGGCCCTGAAGACCATTCCCAAGTAAGGTTCGGGGCTAAGGGTTTAGGGTTCAGAGGGTTCCTATAAGTAAGGTCCTACGAGACACAAGGAAGGAAAATGAAAAACGTTATGGCTTAAAGAATATGAGGTTTAGAGCTGGTCGACAAGGGCCTACCTAGTCTAGTCCTTGTTCAGGTTCCATGTCGCGTCAGCAGCGTGCCAGCAGGTCTCTTTGCCACGGACTGGCGTCCTGTGCATTTGGCGCGGGCTCCAAACCTTAAACCCCAAGCCCACTTGCTTAAACCTACCCCCGACAGAATCTCTCAGAGAAGCTGCATACAGCAGGTCCGAACCACTCTGCCCGCACCAGACACTCAAGGGATTCAGACTCGAAACCCCCAAGGATGTACCCATAAGAGGCTCCCTAAAATACTCCGCATGTGGCCCATATATTCCCTTTAAGGACCCGCAAAAAATGTACCCATAAGAGGTCCCTTAATATACTCCGAATGTGGCCCATATATTCCCTTAAAGGGACCCGCAAAAAAACGGCCCCAAACCCAAGATTACAACCTCAGGGGTCCAAGGTCGAGTCCCATGAGAAACCCGAAGACCAACGAACCCTAAACGCTGAACTTGAGGGTTTAGGGTTTAGGGTTTAGGGTTTAGGGTTTAGGGTTTAGGGTTTAGGGTTTAGGGTTTAGGGTTTACCCTAAACCCTGAACCCCCTGAACCCCACACCCCCAAGTCCTCAAGAGTGCCAAATACGACTCTCTCGCTGGCTGCGCGATGCCCCGGACGACGCGGAGTGGGCAGAACTGGCTTTTCCGTAGAGCACATCCTCAGAGTTCGGGATGGGCTTAGGATTGGCTTAGGGTTTATGGGGTGTAGGGTATTTGTGTTTACCCTAAACCCTAAACCCTAAACCCTAAACCCTAAACCCCAACAGGCGTGGCCAAACCGTCGAGCGGCCACGGGGAGCCAACCGCCGGGTTCCTTGCGCTCGCCTGAAGCACCGACCAGCCATCCTAGGCACAGGCGTAACGTGAAGTGTTTTTTTTGTTTTTGTTAATGTAGGGTTTAAGGTTTAGGGTTTAGGGCTTAGGGCTTAGGGTTTAATGGTATCCCCCAAGGTATCTGCACAATTTATAATAATTCACACTAATTGTTTTGGATTTTCCGTCGTCGCTAAATCTGAACCCGATACCTTTATTCCGCTTTTTACGTCGCAGCTAAATCTCGCTAATTTGGTTCCGTCGCACACCTAAAGCCTAAAGAACAAAAGGCAGGAAACCCACCCCCCAAGCGAATGAGCCACCCAAGCGAATTAGCTGCCGATTCATTCTGGTTCGTTGCCTTCACCCCTGGGTTCCCCGCCCTTGAGTTGAGCCAGCCATTAGGGTTCGGGATAGGATTTTCAGGGTTTAGGGCTCAAGCTCAGACAGGTTAATTAGGGTTTGAGGCTAAACCCTAACTGAGCCCTAAAGTTTAAACCCCAAACCCAAAACCCTGTACTCTCGGTTTTTAGGCTTCGGATTTCAGGTTTTAGGGTTTTGCACCCCGATGGGGTTTTAGTATTCGGGGGAAGGATTAAAAACTACTCGGGACCAACCCTGGGTTCCCGGCCAGGAGGGCGGGGTGGGTGGGGGGGCAGCCCCCAAGCAATGGGCCCTGGCCAGGAGGGGCGGGATGGGTGGGGGGGGGTGCCCCCAAACCTCAACCAATCGAAGTAGTTGGTAATCACCCCACCAACACCCCCCTCCAAGGACGCTTCGAGGTTTAGGGTTCAGGGTATGTGCTTGTCAGGCTTATTTCCTGCTATTTATTTTTCCGTCGTTGCGTCGCTAATTTTCTTAATTTCAATTTTTCCGTCGTTTCCGTCGCAATAATTTGGGCAGAGGTATCCCAAAAGGTATCCCAAAAGGTCGCCAAACTCCATCAGGAACCCTATGGACACTCACCAAGAACAGCAACGGTAATATAAACCCTGCGTCATATGAGGATTTATCTGCTGGTCACTTGCACGGCTCTGTCAAAGTTCATTTTGAAGGTGTATAGGGTTTAGGGCTTAGGGTTTAGTGTTTAGGGTTTAGCATCTCTAGAGCCGCAATTGAGGTTCAGGTCTCAGAGATGAGTTCAAGCATTGGGGGGGGGGGGGGGTGTAGTTTGAGTGTAGTTTGTGAGGAATTCCCCACCCAAACCCTAAACCCTAAACCCTAAACCCTAAACCCTAAACCCTAAACCCTAAACCCTAAACCCTAAACCCTAAACCCTAAACCCTAAACCCTACCCTAAACCCAAGCACAAATATTCAAGGGCAACGCAACAGCCCCCGAGCCACAAATCCCCAAAATCCTGAACGCCAGCTTTAGGGATAAGAGGCCGTGGTGTAGGTTTAGGCTACAACCCTCAACCCTAAACCCTAAACCCTAAATTCCTAAACTCCTAAACTCCTAAACCCTAAACCACCCAACTGCCACCAGACTGCCATACATGTAGTCGCATGTGTAGGCGTTCCAAACCTCTCTCAAAGACGCAGGCTCAGGATGCCTTTAACATGTGCAAGGGTTTAGGGTTTAGGGTTTTAGGGTTTAAGGGTTTAGGGTTTTTAGGGTTTAGGGTTCAGGGTTCAGGGTTTCAGGGTTTCAGGGTTTCAGGGTTTCAGGGTTTCGGGTTTAGGGTCTAGGGTTTAGGGTCCCAGGGGCTTGGTGGTTCATGGGTTGGGGTCAGGAGCAGGGGCACCTGCAAGATGTTTCTATTCATGCAGAGGCGTGCTCGCATGGGATCTTCGCTATGGGGCATGAGGATGTCTGGGAGCTTCATGCGTTCATGGAAGATGGGCTGCAGAGTAGAGGGAAAGCTGGGCGCCTCGACATACTTTGATGAACTCACAAGTTTCCTCGAAAGCGTGGCACGGCCTCCTCATGCTGAAGACAACACATAATAACAAAATAGTAACAAATAGTAGCTAACAATACCAAGCAATCATGAATAATTACAAGCAATAACAACTACTACTACCAAGAATACCGATACCAATATGACAATACTGATAATACTGGCCTCAGTACAAGTAAGTAGCATAGGGATCAGTCATAAGTTGCAGTTCCGAGCTCTTGTCTAAGGCTGGGATGTGTCGGGAGGACTTGACCATCTTGCGTCTTGAGCCGGAGGCTTTACGTTGGGGCGAAGGGGGGGGGGGTGCAGCTCCACATGTGCCTAGTTTCGTCCAGTAAAAAAGGGATTACATAGGGGTCCGAATTCTAGTACCCCCAAAAAGGTCTACAAGCATATCCCCGTCCGAAAAAGCTAAAATGGGCACCTACGTACTCCACTACTAAGTGTGCACATCGTTTGGCACATAGGTTTCATGTCGGCCGTGGCAAGGCGCCAGCCTGCAAATCTGCCGAACCGCCGGAAATTCCAGAAGAGCACAACTCTAGCTTGGAGTTTGAAGCATGTTTCGGCCCCACGGGGGTAAAAACTCCGAAAACGACTTTGCCATACGACCCTCCTTGACCAGAGCCAGGTCGTAAACGATCGTGGGCCAAGGGGGGGACAAGGGGGTTGTAAGGGGCCCGGCGGCTTCCACCGACGGCACCCCGCTACCTCCCTGCAAAAGAGAAGGGGGGGTGGTGGGATCTGGACAAGGGAAATTTTAGGCACAGTTGGCGACCAAGCTTGGCGACCCTTCAGAGGTGCGTCTCGCACGCCCTGCCGCTCCGGCATGGCCTGCCGTAGTGGCCTGCAAACTGTAAAACTAAGAATGAGAACTGGCACCTTTCTGGTTTTAGGTTGTGTTGCGTTGTCAGGGGTTCAAGTCCTGAACCCTAAACCTCGAATGAGCCCCGGGCAAGGAAAGCCTCGGCTATGGGCTTTAAGCATAGGGTTTACGATGTTTATTGTTTAAGCCAGCAAAAAGAACCCAAAACATGTGGATCATAGGCTTTTTGGGGTTGAGGAGAATACGCGGTCAAGCGCAGCCCGATCTAAACCCCTAGCCCTAAACCCTAAACCCTAAACCCTAAAACCCTAAACCTTCAACCCTAAACCCTAAACCCTAAACCCTAAACCCCTAAACCCCAACCCCTGTCCCCTCCTCTGCTGAGCTTCGGCTCGACACTGACACCTGCACCTTCACGTTCCTTGGATGGTGCCGAGAAGGTGGGTGGCGAATGGGCGAGGCCGTGGGCCTAACGTGTTGGCGCTTGGAGGGTTTTCGGGCTGAGGGTGCGTGGCGATTTAGAACACGGCTCCATGTAGGTTTAAACAACAACGCCTGACTGCAAGGCAAAGGCGCCGTTCCACCCTCAAGTAGCCCCCTTGCGGTTCACTTCGTGGATTGTACCTGCCGTTGTCAGGCCAAAGCATTTTGCAGCCTTCCCAGTGACCTAAACCCTTAAGCCTGTGAACCTTAAACCACAAAACCCGAATGTAAACCCCTAAACCCCGAACCCGCCTTCGCCCCTCCTTCCAAGAACCGATAGGTCTGATTCATACTTAGGATTCATACTAAGATCCTGTAGCAAATATAGATCAGAAGGCCAGTTCACTAAAATGGCAAAATGGGAACCCCTTACTCAGTTCAAGATGCCCGGCATGATTCATAGTTGCCCTGCAGTGTTAACACGATCCTCCCTGACCAGCGACCAGACTTTTGAGGTGACCCAACTTTCAGGTTCATGCCTTAATAATTAGATGTTGTTTTCTTTTTTTTTTGGGGGGGGGGGGGAGTATCATCGTATAATTATAACGGGGCCACAAGGGCAGCTCCAAGTATGTAAAAGTGGTTTAGGGTTTAGGGTTTGGGGTTTAGGGTTTAGGGTTTAGGGTTTAGGGTTTAGGGTTTAGGGTTTAGGGTTTAGGGTGGCTGCCGGGGTTCTCAACATGCTGTCCCTTCAAACCCCACAGGAAAGTAAGACTTGCACCTGCTCCCCAGAACTTAGTCTCTTCTGGGGTTTTGGTTTAGGATTTAGGGTTTAGGGTTTAGGGTTTAGGGTTTAGGGTCTGGGGGCGACCCGGCGGCGTCCCCGCCTCTCCAGTACTTTCAGCGTTTCGTAGTCGCCTCTGTCCTCGCCCCTGACCTTTAAGAGGAGTTACGAGGTTTAGGTTTTAGGGTTTAGGGTCGAGGGTTTAGGGTTCAGGGTTGAGGGGTTGGGGCCCTTAGAGGCCCTCAGCCACCTACTTGGAGGTTCACGGATAGTTAGAAGGAGAGCTAGAAGATATCCCTAGATAAATGTTGTAATTGCATGCTATAAGATATCCTTCAATCAGGTTATTATGGTTACCATGCTTCTCATCCTGCCTAAAAGAAATCATGAACCTTCAAGTCGCTGGGCCCTGCCCAGATCCGAACCCAATCTGATTCGTTGAGGCGGTGTTCACGACATTTGGGGATTGCGGGCTTAAGGTTCTGGCGTTGGCACTCGTAGCTGCGAAATAGCCGCAGACACGCCAGTGAAGCGCAGGCGATTCTAACACTCACTGGCTCAGCGTTCAGGGTTTCTGCTGCCTTGTTGGGGTTATATTTATCATTTTCCTTATTATTGGGAGTCTAATAGGACAACAATGTAAAATGATAACCAACAAGGACCCAGGTTTAGGGTTTGGGGTGTACTTCACTCACATAACCCCTAACCTCTGTGGGCAAAGTAGCGCAAAGTAGGTCACACGAGGTGCTTAACCTTCTAAGCCCTAAACCCCAAGAGCTTCGAAAGGCTCTAGGATGAAGGCTTGGGCGGATCTTTTCAGATTTAGACTTTGGGCTTGCCTCAATATGATTCACGTTTTCATTGGGTCTATTGAGGGAACCAAGCTGCAAAAAATCAAGGAAGGTGCTTCATGCCTACCTTGGTGTTGACTCCCCAAAGCCCGAAACGTCGATATTCAGATTTTGACACAGACCTCGACGGTAGGTTCCGAGCTGGAGGGCACCACCCCCCTCCCCCCCCTGCCCCCCCGGCCCTCCCCCGAACCCGAACTGCAGTCATCTCTGCGTGCCGCACTGCTGGGCAACTAAGTTCGCCACCCGGCCATGTCTGCGCTCCTGCTGCAATGACCCCGTAAGCGGCTACGGGGCATCCAGTGCACGGTTCCACCAACTCAAATTAATCTCTAGAGACAAGACTACCACACATGACCCTAAACCTGAGAGCCCCGTTCACTTACTTACATAGACCCTAAACCCTACTCCACCCCTTTCTCATACAGTAGGGGGCCCCATACGAAAGGGACTCGGGGTGAGTTGAGCCTGAACCGCGCCCGCGTATCTTTCGTCAGGCCACGAACCAGGGGCCCATGCTGGGAGGTTGGCGCTTAGGGTTTAGGGCTTAGGGTTTAGGGTTTAGGGTTTAGGGTTTAGGGTTTAGGGTTTATGGGCTTAGGGCTTAGGGTTTACAATTCAGAGTTTACGGCTTGACCGGCTGTTATCTTGCGTGAATCGCATGACACTCTTTGAGGACGGACCATCGTTGCTTGCTTTGAGGGTTGTTTCGAGATTCTGAGGGTAGTAGTATGGGCCTGTACATGGGCACCCTGTATATACCCCATATACCCTATTAAAACCAAGGGCCCGTACTTCAGAATCTTTAAAGAATGCAAGTGGCCACATTCATAAGGGGCCATGTAGCACATCCCAAGGGCTTATCGAGGAAGGGGCAGCTTTTCTGGAACAGGGTTCATAAGGCGAACCTCATTCCTCAAGAAAGGACTCTGGGCCCTCCCTTTGTCCTAGTTGAACCTCCAAAACCATTCCAGTATTACACCCTAAGCCCCAACACCCCGCCCGAAACACAACTACCCACCGAAAGGCTCCGAAGTAGTACTTTTAAAGGGAAGTCCCCTATGTTTAACGCAAAAAGGGAACTTCTTCAGAGCCTTCAGGTAACATGGTTTAGGGTTTAGGGTTCACGGTTTAGGGTTTAGGGTTTAGGGGGTGCTGGTGGTGGTTGGGTTTTGGGGTTTAAGCGTTGAGGTTGAGGGCCCTGCTCTGAACCTCTTAGTCGTAGGGCACAAGAAGCTCGAGAACCCTAAACCCTAAACCCTAAACCCTAAACCCTAAACCCTAAACCCTAAACCCTAAACCCTAAACCCTCAAAGGGGTTTCGAGTTTAGGGTTTACCTGGGACTCCACTTACATAAAGTTTAGCAGCTGCCCTTTCATTTTAGTAGGAAGAACCCATAAAACTGGTAGGTCAGGAGGGCCCCAGGTAGGGCTTAGGTGGTTCGAGACAGCCTAAGGGGATGCAACAACAATTGTCTGTGGCAATGCCAGCCCCGCCAGCCCCGCCAGCCCACAAGCCCGGAAGCCAGCCGAGGCAGGAGACTGGATTGCCCTATACTAGACCCTAAACCCTCAAGCCCTCAACCCCTTAAACCCTAAACCCCAAACCCTAAACCCTAAACAAAAAAAAAAAACGCAACCTTGAAACCTAAAGCTCAAACTCCCGTGAGCTGCAGCTCGTCCATGCTTACTTATCCTTGAAAAAGATGTCAGCTCATAAGACAAGACCGGGCGCTTCCTATTGGGATCAGGAAGAGTCAGGGTGTATAGGGTTCAGTGATCCAGGGTTTCATGGGGTTCCCCTGAATCCTAAACCCTAGGTTTCGGAATTTTTTGGGTTTCGGGATTTTAGGGTTTCTTCGGGTCTTAGGGGTCTTGAGGTTTGAGGGTGTCAGAACCCAATGGCATGATCCATGCCATCTGTGGTCCTCCCCACTGCGCCGCGGAGTCGGGGGCATGGGCACCGGGCCCACGGGAGTTGGCATCGGAGCTTTCTGCGTCGGCCCGCGGCGGCGCGGCAACGGGGCATCCTTAAAGGAGGGCTTGGGATTCCCAAACGGGCGTTCTGCCCTAAACCCTAAACCCTATAGGCTTCAAACCCTAAACCCCAGGCCTTTTGGTGTCGGGTTTCTGGGTTTATTTGGGGGCCAGTAACCCAGGGAGAAAGGGCGCCCGCATTGGTTCTATGGCTATGGGGTTTTGAACGGGAATCTCAGCCCTCCACAAGGCAACTTTTTACTGCACATCACAGTAGGGTTTAGGGTTTTAGGGTTTAGCGTCCCAGGCACGAGATGAAACGTCGAGGAATTGGTGAGAACGCGGCTCTTTAAGCCCACGTCTTGCTTTTGAGCTTTAAATTGTTCAGGGCCGGCGAGATATGCCACAGGGATGAGGGTTTAGGGTTGAAGGTTTAGAGCTGGGGAGATATGCCATAGGGATGACTTCGGCCGGTGAGTACTTTCGGGCTTTCAGGGGTTTGCAGGGCGTCGGCGGGTTGGGGGTTTGGGCAGCTACGGTGTCACCCTTACCGCCCAAACTCGTGGCCTAGAATGGGGTGTCGAGGGCGAGGTCTCGAGGCTGCCCTCAAGGCTGCCCACATCTGACACGTAGGAACGTGCGAAACACAAGTACCATCTGCAAAACGAGCACTTCCCTACTTCCGAGGGCACCGCTCAAAACCGAAGTGCATATTGAATTACCCTAGATGCCACGCGGTCTTACCAAGAAATCTTCGCACCCCAAACCCTAGCTAGGTGTCGATTTCAACAGTCCTTTCATCATTCGGGCTCCATGTTAAGCAACAAGGGCAAGTAAAACCTATCCCAAAATCGATGCCTAGCTAACCATCCACAAGTCCTTGGGAGAGGCGCCAGGTAGGGATCGGGTGGAGGCAGATGTGAGGGTCGCGAGGGCGTGGAGCTCATCTCGAGCGCGGCCGTGCGAGCCCTGATTCGCCGTCGGGTCCGTCGCGTGCTGGTACTTTCGCTGCTGCTGCTGGCCTGCGGGGTTTAGGGTTTAGGGTTTAGGGTTTAGGGTTTAGGGTTTAGGGTTTAGGGTTTAGGGTTTAGGGTTTAGGAATTGGGTTTAGGGTTTAGGGTTTAGGGTTTAGTGTTTAGGGTTGAGGGTCTAGGGAACTCAATTCTACGGTGGCCCTTCAAACCCCCGGAGGTTGCTACGGGTTTGCAGTTTCGGGCTTACGGTTTTAAAAAAGATCATGCTCGTAACCAGCAGGAAATGCAGCCCTAAACCCTAAACCCTCAACCCGGGGCAGTTGCTAGGAAGTAGCAGAACTGATCTCCTACGCGCCACACTTGCTGTGGAGCACATGCGAGGTTCAAGCGTTTACTTGGAGGCTCATGGAAGTTTACCTGGATCCCAAAAGTTGCAAACAAAAGTCGCCACCATGCAACAGTGGCATTTTCTTGAGCAGCTGCAGAAACCTCATGTTGGCAAATGTACAGGTTTCTGACAGATTTGTGTTTTTGACCTGAGGGTGTCGTGGCCAGCAATCACGCTTTACTGCTGAGTTTCAAAATGGCCATGCCATCGGCTTCAACCCTCGTAGATTCCAGCATTGCTCATCTTCATGGAGGCAGGTTGGCTGTGGAACATGGTGTGCAATGAAACAGGTTATCTTGAAAACAGGTTGTGGCAACACGGATCACAGCTTTCTCAGGGCTGTCCTTTTTTTCACAAGACGGGATGGCGGTTGCAGTAGGAAGTGTGGGCGCGTCACACATGCAAAACTGTCTTGCTTCGTTCCGCTGCCATGCATGCCATACAATGATTACGGTATATTGATTCACAAGATGTACAAGATGTCATTCCGTGTGGTTCTCGGAATGGCCCATCAACGTACTGGGCATGACATGTCCACCACACATGCGAGTGACGCAAAACTGTAGTCACTACCGTTTTTGTTATAGCAGTTCTAGGTAAGCTGGAGTTTATGTGGGCAGCCTCTCTGGCTTGCGCTGCTTTTTCTAAGAAAGGGAGTGAAAGGGGCTATGAGGCCATGCAAGTTGCATCCCTTGTGCCAGAGGAGCGCTTCATGAACAATAAAAGGAGAGAAAGCGCAACAAAAGGTCGCAGGGACATAGAGGCTATGGTGTGACCATTGTTGAAGGACAACTCACTAACTTCTCAATCGTCAGCCTCCAAGTTGACAGAAACGATGGGGTCTGACAGAACATTTAAGATTATTGCTTGAAATGTGTTTTTTGGCAAAAGCTGGACGTGAACAGGCTGTCGCGCGACCCTATGTCCGCACCTGGCGCAGCAAATAATTATTCACAGCGGCAGCAACTCCTTGAGAAAATATTCAGAGCAACAAAACGTTGAGGCCTGGCAGCATGGACTGGTGCAAAGAACGCGAGAAGAGCAGTTGTGATTACATGTCAACGCCGGCGCCAGAGACTCAATTTCATCAAGCCCGCACCACACCAATCTCAATCAAAGAAGATATGACCGTCACGTCGTAATTTCCTAAATTTTCTTCACGCAATCATGACCTACGGGTTTCTACGGTTTTTTATGCCACTTCTATGGCTTTTTATGCCACTTCTACGCCTTTGTACGCCCGTGAGATTTTTGGCAAACCAAAGAAATTCTAGAAAATCACTGTTCGCAACCTCTTCGCCGCACATACCTCTCGACAGGATACCCAGCCGATCATTTCCAGTCCCAAATATGCTACTTGTACACTGCAGACAGCCCGTACGGTTTCTGCGAAAGACATGTATTCCAGACAACGGAGGCTTGAATGGTTTAAAGCACGAGAACACCATACCAGCGGCCTGCGGCCTGCGACACCTTCATGTTTGCCACGTTGAAATATTCAGCGGGAGGATGATGGGCTCTACGGTTTGAGCCACCGACAGAAGAGCTCTGGTCAATTGGACGGTTGCAAGATGAAGCGAGGGCGTGTAATTAGTAGTGTATAGCTACATCACAGACTGGAACAAGTGCGGCGCATGAAGGCTTCACAAATTCACGTAGAAGGCCTGTTTGAGTTTTTTTCAACGCACTCACCCACCCAAAGCTGGTTGGACATCACGCGCTGCTGTTTCTCTTGGTTTCTCGCTTGACTCGAGGCATTATTCTGGAAATTTCAATGTGTAACTTTGAGCATGTTCTTGCACAAGTTATAGCAATCACCACGGATCTACCCGTAAACCCGCGCAAGCATTATAGGCGTGCCAGCGAAGCAATATTTGTACGTGACAAGTGCACCAACGCAAAACCTGCCCATACACAACATATCTTGCCTCAAGGGATTTTGCACGAACCGTTGCAGGATATTACAGATCGGAAACGTGCCACCCAACATCCATATTTGGCAATTCAACGAAATGTGGCCAAATACGGCGTGGGGTCCACGGCTGCTGCCACTCAGGATGCACGCTGCCATCACAGAAAGGCCATCAACGACACGAATGCGCAACACACGAAACGAAGGCAATATTTAGTTTTGTTTTCAGCCCCTGCTCAAAATAAAACAATACTGCTGGATGTTCGTTTTTCTTGCACAGTATGTCCGCGAGCCATTTTGTTCAGATACAAACTCGCTCAGGCCAGCAGTGAAGGAGCCCAAAATGCCCAAAACACCTTCATTGACAAAAGTTGTTGAGTAGTGGCATTTGTTGTGGCGTAGTGGCAATTTTTCAAGCAACTCCCACGCCAAATGGCGGTGGCAAAAAAAGATTGCAACTTTGGGGATCCAGGTATAGCCTATACCTACTACTACCATGGACCTCAAAGTGGGGTTGGAGGGGTTTAGGGTTTCGGGTTTAGGAAGAAGGTGTAGGATTTAGGGTTTAGGGTTTAGGGGTTTAGGGTTTAGGAAAAAGGTGTAGGGTCAAGGGTTTAAGGTAGCCTGACCCTGAACAAACCCTTCTGCCCGTCGCAGCGCTTACAACTAAAGAGCCCCTGGTTTAGGGTTTGGGGCTTGGGGTTTGGGGTTTGGGGTTTAGGGTTTGGGGTTGAGGGTTTAGAATTTAGGGTTTAGGGGTTTAGGGTTTAGGGGTGTCTTTGCGGTTCAGGGCCAAAACGAGCAAGATGCGCGGGTTCGGACGGGAACTCTTTCGTCTTCTTGACTCTACTGTTGAGCATTTTTTGGAGGGTCTTACGATATTAGGGGTACCTGCGTTATTGTTATCCTCATTTTTGGAGGGTCTTACGATATTAGGGGTACCTTGCCTTATTGTTATCCGAAGCCCCTACATTTTGCCCCATGAACCATGAAGCCCTAAACCCTAAACCCTAAACCCTAAACCCTAAACCCTAAACCCTAAACCCTAAACCCTAAACCCTAAACCCTAAACCCTAAACCCTAAACCCTAAACCCTAAACCCTAAACCCTACCCCCTAAACCCTACACCCTAAACCCTACGTTTTGGCACTCCTTGGCCTTCCGCCACCGCTTGGGCCTGTCCCTGCCCTGGTCGCGGAGGCTGTTGAGCTCGATCTTCGCATCGTGGAGTTCCTCCATGCGCTTTAGGGTTTAGGGTTTAGGGTTTAGGGTTTAGGGTTTAGGGTTTAGGGTTTGAGGATTGGGGTTTTCGGTCTGGGGTTTAGGGTTTATAGGGTCTAGGGTTTAGCTTACTGTTGGGCGAGAAGCTGAATCCCCTGCCGCGAGGGCGTACTGCGCTCTATTTTCTCGCGCGCAAAAAAGGGCCAGGATTGTAGGTCCAGGTCCTTTGGGGTAGGCGCGTTCCTAAACCCTAAACCCTAAACCCTAAACCCTAAACCCTAAACCCTAAACCCTAAACCCTAAACCCTAAACCCTAAACCCTAAACCTTGTTGCGCCCTAGACAGTGCAAACCCTTGGGAGTCCTTCTGAAGGCTGCTGACCAAATCCAACAGTTCGCCGACCTGCTGGTAATGCTCGCCTCGGACTCAGCTTCTATACTCCCCTTAGAACCTTAACAAAAACAATATTTTTCATATGAAGTAGGGTATATATTTCTTGTACCCCCAAAAGGACACCAGGTATATACACTCACCAATATTTAAAAGGAACCTTATATACACTCACCAAAAACAGAAATATATACCCTGCTTCATATCCTCTTGGGTTTTATATAAACAAAAAAAAGAAAATGATTCCCAAGGGGGATATAGGCTTGCTCTCAGTCCCTGCCGTGTTTGCCTGGAGATTCAGGTTTCTGCCTGGGGTTTGCAGACGACAGCTATCGGGGCATCCCGGGCCTCCCCGGCCCCTAGGTGTGCTTCAGGATTGGGAGCCCTAAGCCCTGAACCTCAAACCCGAAACCGGCATCGAGGCCCTAAACCCTAAACCCTAAACCCTAAACCCTAAACCTAAACCCTAAGAACCCTAGACCTTCATCGAGCTTCGAGACTCGATTGTGGGCAGCACAATCGGGGGGGTTGATGGTGGCACTTGCAGGTTTAGGGTTTCCGGAGAAGTGGGGTTTGGGCTTCAGGGATGCAGCTGTCTGAAACTACAATCGCCTGCTTCAAGCTACCGATTTTGCCATGAGCTTGCTGCAATCTTGAGGGTTTTGGGTTTAGGGGTTTGGGGTTTAGGGTTTAGGGTTTAGGGTTTAGGGTTTAGGGTTTGCTACAGGAATCCTCAAAACCGGCACCTCGATGTTGGGGAACCCTCAACTAGGCCCCAGCTCCCACGTCTTTCTGGAGATCCCACCTCAAAGACCAAGGACCAAGACCTCAAGCCCTCGACCCTCACCTCCCTCCCCCATTCTACTCTCAAGCCCACCCTGTCGTTTCATCCTAAACTCATCAAAGCCCGAAGCCTAAACGCTAGGGTTTAGGGTTGGGGATAGCGCCTTGGAGGCCTGGGGTCTGAGGAGTAGGGACTCAAAACCCTGCCTTAATCATTAGAATAGGTGTTTTTGTTTGGGGGGGGGTTCGTGATATTATACTTTTGCGGGGACGACTCTAAGGGAATATTTTGGGTATATGTTAGCCGAAAACGGGCAAGCTGCCGCCGCCGAAGTGTGCTGCCATCTGTCGGGAGTGATCTTACGAGGTCCGTCATGGCTTCCTAACCCTAAACCCTAAACCCCAAACCCTAAACCCTAAACCCTAAACCCTAAACCCTATACCCTAAACCCTAAACCCTAAACCCTGAACTGCACCCTCAACCCGAGAGTTAAACCCTGAACTGCACCCTAAACCCGAGCGGAAGAATTGTGGGATTACGAGGAGGAGGGAGCTTCATCTCGGGCCCGATTTCCTTAAGCCCAAAAACCCTAAACCCTAAACCCTAAACCCTAAACCCTAAACCCTAAACCCTAAACCCTAAACCCTAACCCTAAACCCTGGTCTGTTCGTCAGGGCCCCGACTTTCCCATGAAAGCCTCCTTCCTCCAGTCAACCCCAAACCCTATCCCTAGTTGTCCAGTATCTTCGGGGAACCAAAGGTTTATGGTTTAGGGTTTAGGGTTTAGGGTTTAGGATGTAGGGGTTAGGGTTTAGGCCCAAGAAGGCTCGAGGCTGCCTGTTCTGTAAACCCCAGCGGTGTATAGGGTTCACGGATTCTCCGATTGAGGGTCAGCCAAATGAGGCCTACACCCTAAACCTTTGGACCCCCAAAGCACCTTCAGCTCTATGTTTAGGGTCTTGGATTCTTGGGGGGTTTAGGGTTTAGGGTTTAGGGTTTGGGGTTTGGGGTTTGGGGTTTGGGGTTTGGGGTTTGGGGTTTGGGGTTTGGGGTCGGGGGTTTGGGGTTTAGGGAGAGCTCCCCCCAAACACAAGCTCAGGGTTTAGGGTTTACACAGGGGGCTTAGGGCTTAGGGCTGAAACGCCACCCAGCCCAACGCATAGACTAGGGATGTAAGGGTGCCCTTGTTTGCCGAGGTTGAGTTTTACAAGGGATCCTCACTCCGAAAATGGGTGACTGGGCATAAAGTACAAAACCAAAGCCCCCTAACTCCTAAACCCTGAAGCCTAAAGCCTAAAGCCTAAAGCCTAAAGCCTAAAGCCTAAAGCCTAAAGCCTAAAACCCAAAACCCAAAATCTAAACCCTAAACCCTAAACCCTAAACCCTAAACCCTAAACCCTAAACCCTAAACCCTAAACCCTAAACCCTAAACCCTAAACCCTAAACCCTAAACCCTAAACCCTAAACCCTAAACCCTAAACCCTAAACCCCAAGCCGCCTCCGATTCGAAGACCATCTCTCCGCACAGCTTGCAAGGAGACAGACGGCCTCGGCAGCCCTCCTCCGAATCGAAGGGAGGATACATGGCCTCTTTAGTAGGGTTTAGGGTTTAGGGTTTAGGGTTTAGGGTTTAGGGTTTAGGGTTTAGGGTTTAGGGTTTAGGGTTTGGCGCTGCCAACCCCTAAACTCCCTAAGCCCCAACCCGAACTGAACCCTGAAGACCCCTTTACGCACCAGAAGGGGCCCCTCAACTCCTGAGGTCCTGCTATGTTTAGGGTTTAGGGTTTAGGGTTTAGGGTTTAGGGTTTAGGGTTTAGGGTTTAGGGTTTAGGGTTTAGGGCTTAGGGTTTAGGGTTTAGGGTTTTGGGTTTAGGGCTTGGACTCCCCGGACAAAGGGCCCTCGACGTTGTGGGTTTAGGGCTCCACCTTCAAGTCTAGGGCGCATCCTAAGGCGGCCCTGTCGGGGTACAACGTCAAACCCCAAAGCCTTCAACGCTAGAGATGGATCTTTTTGGCCTTTGGGGGGGGGGGGGGGGTAGGAACATGGCAACCTTCATAGACCCCTATACGACCCAAACACCCCATACTTCAGAACCCTATAAAGGTAAGGGATCATCTTCAAGGACCTCGTATAACGTCCCTTACGTCATGACCAATGAGACCCTAAACCCTAAACCTCTGAGCCCGAAACCCTAAACCCTAAACCAGGGTCAGGCTGAATCAGTAAATCCTAAGCCCTCCGCCCTAAACAACTGTTTGGGGTTTAGGGTTTAGGGGGGTTTAGTCCTTGTGCTCCGCGAGCTCGTTCGCCCTGACGACCTCATCGCACTCTGAGCAAGGGACCTCGGCACCAGAGGGGGAGAGAGAGAGAGAGAGATCTTGGGGCAGGTAGTATCAGGCCGCTGGCCTCTTTATCTGCTACCCTTATAACCTCAAGATAGACCCTAGATACCCTAATAAGAACCCACTATATGGCTCCTTTACAAGAGAAACCCTACCCAAAGAGACCACCAGCCCATATAAGGTAGGTACGTGGTCCCTTAAGATGGGCCTTTCATGGAGGAACCCTTAGATACCCCTTATGTAGCAGAGGCCCTATTAAGGGGTCGACAATGCCACTTCCCTTTTGCAACAAGAATGAGTCGGGCTTGGGGTTTGGGATTTCCGCAATTTTGGATGCTTCGCCCTGGGGGGTTTTTAAGGGTTAAGGCAGTGTGGAGTTTAGTGCCGAGACTTTGCCTTATCACCTTGTCCTTCCAGAACCTGTTAGTTGGGAAGGGCCCTGCTATTTCGATATTTGGCACATTCGGATCGTATTTTATCGTTTAGGGTTTAGGGCTTAGGGGACGGCATTTTTTGGCCCAGCAAGATAGACTCTAGAACTCTAGGATCTGGTGCCTACTGGCGCCTACAAGGCCGCTACGAAGCTAGTCAGGCCTTCGAGTTCAGGGCTCTCTAGCTAGCCCAGTAACCTAGGATGAAAAAGGGTGCCCTTTTTTGCTTAAAGGGGTTTAAAGGGGCTTAAGAAGGGAACCTAAACCTTCCAAAAAGGGAACAAGGGCACCACTGGGCATCCTAGGATTTAAGGTTTCAGGTTTGGGGCTTCAGGTTATTCAAGATTGTAAGGTTTGGGGGTTGTTGTTGTTGTTGTTGTTGCTGAATGGGATTTAGGTTTAGGGTTTAGGGTTTCGGGTTTAGGGCTCAAGAGCCAAGATGCGAGTCGTTGCGGGCACTCTTGGAGGTGCGCCTCCTCGCAGGCGCGTCTGGGAAGACGGACATCTTCGAACGCACCCTAAACCCTTGGGGTGTTCACCCCTAGGTACTAACGGTCCTCAGTAGGGATTATAATAGGGGGGGTACTAGAATCCCTACTTGGCTGCTGAGTTCATGAGCCCCAAAAAATGTGCACACTTTCAGTTCTATAGGGGATTAAAGTATCCCGAAAGTGAAAAAGTGTACTCACTCAGCTACTAAGCCTATTAAGGACCCTAAACCCTAGACCCTAGACCCTAGACCCTAGACCCTAAACCCTAAACCCTAACCATTAGCACAAGGAGGGACATCTCAACCTAAACCCTACACCCTGTTCGGAAGAAACCTAGGTCCATGCTCGGGTTTAAGAGAGCCACGGTTTAGGGTTTAGGGTTTAGGGTTTTGCACCATGATTGTGATGACCAGAATTCAAATAGAGATGAACTTTGAGAACAGTATGGGGAAATACAACATTCGAATTCAAGATATTCTGATAGTACTTTGCGAAGAGTTCTATGTTCTGATGTACCTAGATTTGCGCTTGTTAACTTTGAAAGTAACACATCGGTATATCATTCGACTATGTGAACAATCAAAATGTCAAACTTGCCTGTGTTTAACATAGAAAACAGTTACAGTTTCTAAAGAAAATAACCATGTATATTGAATATAAGAATTAATGTAAAGAAGCGTATAGAGTAACAGCTAACCATGGACATTTGTAGTATGGTAATGAAATAAAACAATCTATTTATCAGAATACTCCGTGCCAATTTTGCAATTGAAGAAATTGAAGAAAGAACATGTACATGTGTTACGGAATCAGGTCTTGCTAAAACAAATGCTATGGTTAAATTCTGCTTCCCCGGAGCAGGGCTACGGTAAAAGGGCGCCTAAGGGTTTGGGGTGCTGCAAGCACCCTGAAACCGAGGATCCAGAAACCACCCGAAACTTCAGACCCAGGCCAGATCAAGCCTCTGAAAACATCTTCCTTAGACCTTTAGGGTGTATAGGGTGCGCAGACCCTAAGGAAACTTAAACTAGATCAAGCTCGCAGCCTAAACCCTTAGGCCCCAAACCTCCTCCGTCCTTCTCGCAAAGCGGAAACTCCTCAGAGCAGCGGTTCGGGCATCGTATCTTCCTTCGCTCCAGGAGCGAGGGTTACATGTGACGCACCCGAAACCCTAAACCCTAAACCCTAAACCCTAAACCCTAAACCCTACCGAAACCCTAAACCCAAGTTGGGGTCCGGGTCTTGTGCCTGATTTTGGGGCTTGCGGGATGGCTTGGAGGCTTTCTGATTTAGGGGTTTAGGGGAGAAGGGGTTTTTAGGGTATTTAGGGCTTTTAGGGTTTAGGGTTTAGGGTTTAGGGTTTAGGGTTCAGGGTAGCTTTCGGGTATCTAGGTTTAAGCTTTGAGGTGTTAGGGTAGTTGGGCATTTATGGGTAGGGTATTTAAGGGTGCATAGTTAGGGGATTTCGGGCTGCGGGGTATTTAGGGCTTATAAAGGGCTTTAGAGGTTCAAAGTGTTCAGGTTATTAAAGGCATGTAGGTGTTGTTTAGGGTTTTACCGCTAGGGTTTTGGGCTGTTTGGGTACTTTGCGGGCGTTATGGATCGAAGGAACAGTACTCACTGAAATCAAACTGCTAGGTGTTGAGGGAAATAAGGCTCTGTATTTCCAGTACCCCGCGGAAGGGCACCCCAGATGTACACTCGCCAATTTGTAGCAAGAACCCCCCACCAAGAAAGGAAATAACGGCAAAGCCTGAGCCAAAGGCCCGACACATTGCTAAACCCTAAACCCTATAAACCCTAGACCCTGAAAAGTGTAGTGGTTTAGGGTCAAGGGTGTCGATTAGCAGTCAACATGCGCTCACTCGACGTCCAACAGCTCAGGGTTTTGGGCTTAAGGACCTTACTAGTAGCAACCTATAACCCCTTTCAACCGTTTGAACCCTGAACCCTAAACCCTAAACCCTAAACCCTAAACCCTAAACCCTAAACCCTAAGGATCAGGAAGGCCAGAGTAAATCGAGGACCGAGGCTCAGATTGATGATCCTGCGCCGATCAACATGAGCCGGCGCAGCACTTGAAATCGAGGCTTGCTGGTTGCAGGTAGGGCATGAATCGCCTGAGTTGCTTAGGGTTTAGGGTTTAGGGTTTAGGGTTTAGGGTTTGGGGTTTAGGGTTTAGGGTTTAGGGTTAGCCGCGGGTTTAGGGTTAGCCGCTAAACCCTGCTATACTCCCTGAACATGTGTGAAGGAGGCAGAGTGGCGTAGGATCTCATGATCCCAAAGCAGGGTATGCCCTTCGCTATATCATGCACTGATAAAGGAACATCGCCCCCCCCCCCCCCCCCCCCCCCCCGGCCCTCCCCCCTCTTACACCTCCCGGCACCAGGTGCTTTGGTTGCTCTTCTTGGTTTATTCATTGATGGGTTGGTGTTGGTCTGAGAGCTAGATTTTTAATATGTATGTATGTATGTATGTATGTATGTATGTATGTATGTATGTTATATTTATGCAATGTGCTATTCACATATCAAAAAATATTATACATAATATATATATATATATACATATACATGTATTGCTATATCTGTGTATATATATATATATCATTGAATGTATCTATATTTTCTAGATTCGGTGACCCCGAAAAAGTATTATGCTACATGTATATGGCTTGAGAAACTGAAAACTTTCTCAAGGGCACCCGAGTGTCGAGATGCCAGGCATTTATTCCAGCACCCGCTGCAGAAGAGGGAGTTGCCACAGTCATGGGACACAGCGTTCCGAGCTACCATACTGCCTTGGCTCTTGACAAAGAACTAAGAAAAAATAGGTACCGCAAAGAATCAGCAAAAAAACAAATACACATACATATATATATATACATGTGCACACGCATTATTTAATTTATACCTAAAGACTCCTGTCCTTTTACATGGTTATACAGGGTTTCTAGTCAACCCTAAACCTCAACCCAGACCCTTCCTTCCCTACCAAGATGCAAATGGGGCATTCGAAACACTGGAGGTCGACTGGCTCGTCGACCCAGTCCTCATCGTGGCCGCATTCCTCCTTGGTAGCCCTGTACTTGTAGGGTTTAGGGTTTAGGGTGTAGGGTTTAGGTTTTAGGGTTTAGGGTTTAGGGTGAAACCACTGTATATCGAACTAGCCCCTCAGATTCGGGGCTTGGGGCGATCTGCGACACCTTTCAGACAAAAAACTTAGGGTACCCTAGGTCGAGTGGGCCAGTTTCTTAAATCGGGGGGGGGGGGGGGGGGGGAGGTCGACGCAGCAAAGGTTGGGCCAAGAAATGACAAAGGCCAAGTTTCGGCCCGGGCCCTGTGGCCGGGTTTAGGGTTTAGGGTTTAGGAATTCCAGCCATATTCAAGCTTTTAACTTGTCGGGAGCAAATGGATCCATTTCGAAATCCATTTTGCGGAGCTTTTCCCTAAACCCGAAACCATAAACCCTAGACCCCGAAGCCTCCAAACAGGGGATTGGGTGGCTGCCCCAGCTTGTGTGTGTGTCTGTGTGTGTGGATTTGGGCTACGTGGTACAGATACTCTCTTAAGAAATCGATAAAGGAACCTAGCATACCGTGGCAGTTAAGAAACTTAGGGTACTCTAACCGCCGGAAAGTTGGAATAAGGGTTTAGGGTTTACGGTTTCATTTAGGGTTTCAGGTACCGCTGCTTCACCAAGCTTCCACCTCTTCAATGCAAACAACGCCATCTGCCATGGCTTTCCCCCCCCCACACAGGGGAGCTTACCTTTTTGGCGTGAACGATGTTCTACCTGAACACACCGAATACACCACAAAGTGCCTAATCCCCAAATTCCTAAACACCCGACTTCCAACATCTTGTCATGGGTATCCCGGCTACACCCCTCTATACTACCCCCCCCCCTTGGTTCCTTGATGAAATAACCTTAACTAGGCTTAACTATCCCTAAACAGCCTTACTATGTCAGACAAAGAACATGTCCTTGACCGAGCATGCATTACCCCAACCCCGGCACTCCATTTGCTGAGCCGAAAACAAGAAAGCCACAGAGATGGCCTCCTAAATCTGCAGGCCTCCACATACTCACCCGAAGCCCCCCAACCCGTAAACCCTAAACCCTAAACCCTTGCTCCCCGAGCACTGCCGCTGCGTGCCTTTGGCAATGGAAGGCACCTCTGCTGAATAGGGGGTGGGGGGTGTAAGGGCTTCAGGGTTTGGGGTTTAGGGCTTCAGGGTTTCAAAGGGAGTCGAGCTTGGCACCCCCAAGGATGCACCCCTAAGAGGTTCCCTCCATAGACTCCCAAAACAGCCCTTCGATGCTCTTGGAGGGATCTTCAAAAAGGGGCTCCCCAAACCCGAGGGTACGACCTTAGGGTATGGGCTTCAAGGCTTTAAGAACTCTGTGAACCCCGCAAGCTCCCCCACCCCCCGTATTGGTTGGCTTAGAGCTGAGTTTTACGCAGTCTGGGGTTCACAACAAGGCTCAGGGGTTTAAGGCCCTGTGGTTGAGATGCTTCGAAAATAATCTTGACAAAGAGTCTCCTCTTCAAACCTTCACGCCAAGGGTTCATAAAGTAAGCGCTGCAGCCACGCAGAGTCCTAGCCGCCCAGTAACCGACGAATGAAAAGGGTTTGGGCTAAATAAGGGTTTAGGGTTAGCTTCGTCCTCACCCCCAAAAAGGAGAAGGCAGAGGCTTCTATGGGGCACCCTCCCCAACCTCCAATTTCCCGAGAGTTTGGTACTCGACCGCTTAGGTTGGGTTGGGGGTCTTGACCCCGAAAAAATATTCGATGAGAAGGCCCTTTCCCCTAAACCCTAAACCTTAAACCCTAAACCCTAAACCCCTAGAATTGCCCCTCCGAAAAACTTAACCTTGAGTATCAGAAGATGTAAATACGCCGCTCGGATAGATTTCCAGAGGATATAAAGGTTTAAGGTTTATAGGGCTCAGGGCTTAGGGCTTACGGCATCCTGAACCCTAAACCCTAAACCCTAAACCCTAAACCCTAAACCCTAAACCCTAAACCCTAAACCCTAAACCCTAAACCCTAAACCCTAAACCCTAACCCTAAATACCCTAAACCCTAAACCCTAAACCCTAAACCCCTCAACTCTCGACGCCATGCGCTTGCCTCGATGCCGAAGTCCGTGTACTGCTGCCACGGGTGCCAGTTGAGCACGAAGAGGCAGCCTCAGTGTAGGGTTTAGGGTCTAGGGTCTAGGGTTTAGGGTTTAGGGTTTAGGGTTTAGGGCTTAGGGTTTGGGGACTACTACAGTTTGCTTAAGAACCCCCCCGCCCCCCAAAACATCAAAAACACAAACCCCTATATTGCCCTCATAAGGGGGAGTGTTCTTAAGCAGTTAGTAGTCTAGGGGCTTAGGGGGAGGATCCGGAGCCCTCCTGTCCCGAAAAAGCACGTGAAGACCCACATGTACAGGGTTTAGGGTTTAGGGTTTAGGGTTTAGGGTTTAGGGTTTAGGGTTTAGGGTTTAGGGTTTAGGGTTGTGATTTCGGTGCCTAACCGAAGAGTGGATGGGTGGGGGTTCAGGAAGAGGGAGGGGCGAAACACTGCGCAGCACACGTTCATGATTTTCTGGCATGTTCATAACATCGCGCGCGCGCTCCGAACAGCACACGGGACAACATATAGTCCACAGGCACACGCACACAAACAAATCTGTCGACAGGCATCGGCATTTGCACCATCTCCCAACGTGAACATACGTCACATGTTCATATTCTGCGTTGACATCACGTGCTCCAAACATAGTCTACGTTGAATATTGCACATACCACACGCGCACGAGCCCAAAGGTATTGGTAAACAAGCATCAACGTGTGGATCTGCACCTGAACCTTCAAAGCAACCATCTCCGAGCTTAGGGTCCTTGGGCTTCTGGAAATGTTCTGAACCTGTCATGGGGTTTAGGGTTTAGTTTAGGGTTTAGGGTTTAGGGTTTAGGGTTTAGGGTTTAGGGTTTAGGGTTTAGGGTTTAGGGTTTAGGGTTTAGGGTTTAGGGTTTAGGGTTTAGGGTTTAGGGTTCAAGCCTCGTGACAGCACCGAATGCGAACCGGGCTCTTAAACCCCAACCCACGCCATCCAGCCACTCTAAACCCTCAAAGTGCCCTCAAAACACTGCTCCCCCGGGGGCCCACGCTGCCACGCCTGTAAATGACGACCTTGTCCTCTTCGCTCTGGACTAGTACGTCCTGCTCCTGCTGATCGCAGACAAAAGGCCTTTTCCCAAGCTCACGTCGCTCTTTTCCATTGCGAAACCCAAGTTTAGGGCTTAGGGTGGCCCCACAAAGGGCTTCAAGACCTTGAGCCCTGAACCGGAAACCCTCAACCCCGGGCCCTACATTAAATCATCTGCATTCGCAGGTACGCACGCAGTATAAAAACCCCAGGCACCGGTGGAAGAATGACAACCCACCCATGGGTCCCATGTCAGCAGGCACTTGCAAACAAGCCACGTAGCCAGGACCAAGACTCACCCAGAAAGCCAAAGAAAATTTCCGACCGTCAGCCTGAAGATGCACCCCAAGAAGCAGAAACGACCCTGACCACCAGGGAGGCCCTTGAAGCTCCTTAATGAGATCCCTCAAGAAAACCTTGTAAATAAAAGGAGACCCTAGTACATCATGCCCCTAAAGGGAACGACTCATGGAGGCGCCTGAAGAAACACCAGGCCACCAAAAGAGGTGCGGCCCCTAAAGGGAACCCCCCCCGCCAAATGTTTAGCCTCAACCCCTGAACCTTAACTCTAAATCCTGAAGGGAAGCCTGAAGGAGGCTGCTAGAGGAAGCCCTTTAAAAGGATGCCTCGGAGTTTGCTTGGGATCTAGGGATCTTGGTTAAGGGTTTAGAATTCAGCAATAAGTTCGACACCCTGAAGCACTGGTTTAGGGTTTAGGGTTTAGGGTTTAGGGTTTAGGGTTTAGGGCGGGAGGCCGAGTCCTTCGACGCCAGCCAGCCCAACTGATCTGCTGCGCCTGGGTGGCACGTCGTTTGTGGGTGGTCGGGTTTATAGGGCTTAGGATGGTTCAGGGATTCAGGCCCTGAAGCTTTGAACCCTAAACCCTGTAGCCATAAACCCTGTAGCCCTAAACCCGAAAATTTTTCGAAGCCCTACTAGCGAAGCCCTGGCGCCTTGCCCGATCGTGCGGAAGCTTCCTCCACGTTCCGAGATCCGCTAAGAGCAACCCTGCTACCAGCATTTGGCTACAGAATGTGCAGAAAGGGGCAGGCCCGGAACCCCGAAACCCTAAACCCGCCCTCCGGGCTTCGTACATGTGGCGGCTGACGGAAATAAGGGAACCCTAATATCGACCCCCATTAGTAGGATTCCCTTAGAATCAGGACCCCAATAAGGTACCCCGAATTTCGGAAACCCCCCATCTAGGGTTTGTTAAGGCTTAGTGTTTTTGGGTCAAGGGTTTTAGGGTCTATAGCCCAGGAGTCGACTCTGGGAGTTGTTCAAACCCAAAAAAACCCGAAACCCCAAGCTCCAAACCCTAAACCCTAAACCCTATACCCCAAACCCTAAACCTACTCCCCAGTACCTCGTTAAGAAATGTGCCCCAAACCCTAGACCCTTTACCCCAAACCACAGACCTACTCCCCTGTACCCCCTAAAACATGTGCACAACCTGGTACCCTTTTGGGGTTGGTCATTTTAACCCTAAACCCTAAACCCTAAACCCTAAACCCTAAACCCTAAACCCTAAACCCTAAACCCTAAACCACCAGAACCAACAAAAGGGTAAAGGGCACCACTGGGCTACCAAGGCAAGAATAAGCCGAGACTCTGTTGAGGGCCGACTCAAAAGTCTCCATCTGATTGAATTTCAGCTCCTAAACAAGGTTTAGGGTTTAGGGTTTAGGGTTTAGGGTTTAGGGTTTGGGGTTTAGGGTTTAGGGGTTTAGGGTTTGGGGTTTAGGGTTTAGGGGTTTAGGGTTTGGGGTTTAGGGTTTGGGGTTTAGGGTTTGGGGTTCAGGGTTTGGGGCTTGTAGGGGTTTTGGATTTGGGGCTGAGAGTCTGGGGTGCTTCAAAGTTAAGAAATTCCTGGTACCCTCGCCAATTAAAGAGAGGCTTCTTATTCAGCGCTGTGGCTGTACCTTGAACCGTAAAAACCGAAAACCCAAAACCTTAAAAACCCGGCCACGCAACATCCTTACGCACACACACCGCCCTCTTCGTCCTTGTTGTCTGCCAACTCAAACTTGACGCGCGAAGGCTCATCATTGAAGCCTTGACTGGCACAGAGGAACGAGCCTGTGCCCCAAACACTAAACCGCCTGCTGCACAGACTCCCTTACGCGGCCAATGTCGGGTTTGGGGGTTGAGGGTAGGACCCTAAACCCTAAACCCCCTTAGGTCAGAATGTAGGGAACCCCAAACCCTCCCTGTAGGGTTTAGGGTTCCGGGGTCCTCTCAGAACCCGGGGAGCAACCAAGCACGTAAAGGAAAGGTGTCACGCGGTTTAGGGTTTAGGGTTTGGGGTTTAGGGTTTATGGTTTAGGGTTTAGGATCTCGAAACCCCAAACCCTAAACCCCAAACTCTAAACCCTAAACCCAAGAATGGGTTCAAGAAGGGACCCTAAAACTTTGAGCTTCGCCCTCTTAGCTTAGACACGTGCCCCAGAATCCCGCGGTTCCGGCACCTGCTTCTGCTTGCGGGGTGTTTCGAAAACCCCAAACCCCAAACCCCGAACCCCAAACTCCCTAAACCCTAAACCCTAAACCCTAAACCCGAAACCCTAAACCCTAAACCCTGAGGTTTCGGGTTTCGGCTTCACGGGCCGCTACAGTTGATGGAACTACGTTCTGGAAGATACCAGGTAGCTGGTCAAGGGCACGACCTGGCCTGTTGGGTTTAGGGTTTAGGGTTTAGGGTTTAGGGTTTAGGGTTTGCGCTGTCTACGTGAAAGCATCCGGAGAGATGACGGCAGCAGGAGAAGTCATGACGGCACGAAAATCACCAAACCCCCCAAAAACCCAAACCCTAAACCCCAAACCCTAAACCCCAAACCCGAAACCCTAAACCCTAAACCCCAAACCCGAAACCCCAAACCCTAAACCCCAAACCCTAAACCCTAAACCCTAAACCCTAAACCCCCAACACCCAAATCCTAAAGACCGCCTTTGGGGGTCTCTAAGCTTCTGGCCGTTCCCGGGCCGCGGCATGTCGACCGGATCAATCTGGCCAAACTCGGTGCCTCAGGAGTACAGGGGTTCGAAGGTTTAGGGTTTAGGGTTTAGGGTTTAGGGTTTAGGGTTTAGGGTTTAGGGCTTAGGGCTTAGGGCTTAGGGCTTGGTGGATTAGGGGTTTAGGGGTTTAGGGGTTAGGGCTTAGGGCTCAGGAGTTTAGGGCTTTAGGGTTTAGGGCTTAGGGCTTTGGATTTAGGATCTAAGGGTTTAGGGGTTAAGGGGTTTATGAGTTTAAGGGCTTCAGAGTGAAGAGTTTAAGGGTTTATGTTAGGGTTTAAGGGTTTGGGGCTGTACAGGGTTTAGGGTGCGCGGGGGGGGGGGGCGGGGGGGGTGCCGTAGCAGATTCAGGGCCTGAGGAAGATCTGAGGTCTTGGGAGACTTCGCCATATTGACGAAGAGGCCTTAAACCCCTAAACCCATGAACCGCCCCTAAACCAAGAGCCCTCAACCTTATACAGCCCACCCAACCCTAAACCCTAAACCCTTGAAACCCAAAGCCCTAAGCGCCCTAAACCCTAAACTACTACTTGCCTACTTGCTTCAGAATCCCCCCCCAAGAAAAAACAAAACACTTCCTGACAAGGGCAATGTAGGGGTTACTACTTTTTTGTGCACCAGGTGCTCTACTTCAGCTTCGAGGCACTCCTCTAGACTCTCAAAACCCTACCATACCCAAAGCTAAGCTGCCCAGTAACCTAGGCCCAAAAAGAGTGCTCTTTTGTTGCTAAAAGGCTTAAAGGGGTTTATAAGGGAATCTAAACCCACCAAAAAAGAGAAAAAAGGGTACTGCTGGGCATCCTAGTAAACCCTTAACTCTATGATTCTAAACTTCAAGACTTAAAGGGGTTAATAAGATTATAAGGGAATCTAAACCCCCCAAAAAAGGGAATACAAGGGTACTGCTGGGCATCCTAGAAAGCCCGCCCAAGCACATTCCCGAATTCAGCCCAATCCCTCCCCTGGCCGCACGGGGTTTAGGGTTTAGGGTTTAGGGTTTAGGGTTCAGCATCTCAAAGTTCAAGCATTCACTAGGCTGGCAGCTTTTCAAGCGCCCGAAAAGTACCCACCCACCCAGAGAATCCCATACCATTAAGATAATAAAAGTTTCACACGCAACCCAAATTCTTAACCCTACGCTCTCGTCCCTGAACCTTCAACCACCGTAGAACCCTCAGCCCTGAACCCTTGAACCCTAAATTTTAGGGCTCCTCAACCCTCATGCCAGCCAGTGGCTTTGCAAATGACCCAAAGAAGGGGGGCGGAGGGGGGGGGGGGGGGGGCCGGGGGGGGGGGGGGGGGGGGCAGGGGGGCAGGGGGGGGGGGGGGGCAGGGGGGCGGGGGGGGGGGGCAGGGGGGGGGGGGGGGGGGGCAGGGGGGGGGGGGGGGGGGGGGGGGGGGGGGGGCAGGGGGGGGGGGCAGGGGGGGCCAAGGACCTTGCCCACTGATTTTCGGACCTTGCCCGCTAAATTTCGGACCTTGCCCGCTAATTTTCGGACCTTGCCCGCTAATTTTCGGACCTTGCCCGCTAATTTTCGGACCTTGCCCGCTTTTTTTCGGACCTTGCCCGCTAATTTTCGGACCTTGCCCGCTAATTTTCGGACCTTGCCCGCTAATTTTCGGACCTTGCCCGCGAATTTTCGGGCCTTTCCCGGGTCCGAAAATTAGCGGGCAAGGTCCGAAAATTAGCGGGCAAGGTCCGAAAATTAGTGGGCAAGGTCCGAAAATCAGTGGGCAAGGTCGTGGGTCAGCGGGCAAGGTCCGAAAATTAGTGGGCAAGGTCGTGGGGCAGCCAATGGACCTTGCCCACTGATTTTCGGACCTTGCCCGCTGATTTTCGGACCTTGCCCGCTAATTTTCGGACCTTGCCCGCTAATTTTCGGACCTTGCCCGCTAATTTTCGGACCTTGCCCACTAATTTTCGGACCTTGCCCGCAAAGCCATTAACATTTATATTATATATGAAAGAGTGGTTTAGGGTTTAGGGTTTAGGGTTTAGGGATTAGGGTCCAAAAACCCTAAGCCAGGCAGTCGAAGGGGCTCATCCAGGTGCAAACTGCATCGCCACTGAGGGAGGCAGTCGCCAACTTCATGAGCCTAGAAGAGAGGGGGAGGGCTGGGATGCTCCCCCTTATACTTAGGGTTTAGGGTTTAGGGTTTAGGGTTTAGGGTTTAGGGTTTAGGGTTTAGAGTTTAGGGTTTAGGGTTTAGGGTTTAGGGCTGGGATGTTCCCCCCTTTATTGTTAACAGTCCTTAATGGGATAATCGTACCCCCTACTATACTCCCTTGTCAGGACTGTTTGTATAAGGGGGAACATCCCATGGTTTGGTTGCCTAACCCCTAAACCCTAAACCCTAAATCCTGAACCCCAAACCCTAAACCCAAAACCCTACACCCCAAACCCTAAACCCTAAACCCTAGGAGAGAAGAAAAAAACAAAAAAACAACCGTCTAGGGAACCCGAAGCCCACAGTCGACCTTCCTCCTTCCAGGCCCCCCCCCCCCTCCCTCTAAGCTGCCTAGGCCCCCAAACTGCCTCTGAACACTGTGCACGACACACTAGGATTTTGGGGGGCTCAGGCTTTGGGGTCTATAAGTTGGGATCTTCCCCCGTATACCTAGCAGTCCTTAATCGGGAGTATAGCAGCCCCTATGAGAATCCCTGTTCAGGGCTGTTAGTACAAGGGGAGCATCCCAAGCTGTGGGGCTTATAAGCCACCCCTGAACCACCCAGCCCTGGACGCTCCGGTTCTGAGTGAAGGGTAGCTGATGAAGGCGTCTGGGTTTGCTGCGTGGACCCCTGCTGCTGGGGTTTAGGGTTTAGGGTTTAGGGTTTAGGGTTTAGGTTTAGGGTTCAGGGTTCAGGGTTTGGGGGTTTGTATTTCCAAGAGTCCTTAGACTTACTTCAGCCTGCAGGCCTGGAACGTCGGTGAAATGTAGATATGCTTGGGTGGCTGCCTTCACATGAAGCAGGGTATATATTTCTTGTACCCCCAAAAGGACACCCAAGGTATACACTCACCAAGTTTAAAAAGGAACCTTATACACACTCACCAAAAACAGTAACATATACCCTGCTTCACATGCGTTCGCAGAACTATTCCAAAACTGTCTCTCTCTCTCTTTCTCTCTCGCTCTGTCCTCTCATTTCCTTTCTTCATTTCTTTGTCCATTCTCTCTCTCTCTCTGCCTTTGCTTCTTCGTTTCTGTATTTCTTTATTTCTAGCTTTCTTTTTGTCTTTCTCTCTCTCACTCTCTCTCTCTTTCTCTCTCTCGCTCTGCCCTCCCTGTGTCGGAACCCTGAACCCCAAACCCTAGGCGCAAAACCCTGAACCCGAACGCCTGAACGACAACCCCCTAACAAATACTGCAAAACCGACCCTAAACACTAAACCCTAAACTCCCTCAACCCTAAACCCTAAACCCTAAACCCCAAACCCTAAGCCCTAAACCCTAAACCCTAAACCCTAAACTCCCTCAACCCAAGCCCTGACAACCGCCAAGTAGCTTTAGCAGCGCAACGCCGCGCGCGACCAGCGGATCGCCATCCTGCATTTATCTGACGTCAGTCCAGGCTTAGGGGTTCAGGGTTCAGGGCTTGGGGGTTAGGGTTTAGGGTGTTTAGGGCCTAGGGTTTAGGGAATAAGGTCCAGGGTGCAGGGTTTAGGGCCTGGGTAGGGGGGGGCGGGGTGGTCTCCATTCCAGTCTATCTGGGGTCCCCAACAGGGCATGTCATTGCAGAGGGCACGAGTTCTGAAAGTCTGAGGCTGGGGGAGGCAAGTATCGGATTTTGAGCTTCCCGAAACCCCAACCCCAAAAGAGTGGTAGATGTAGTGGGTCCCCCTTAGACTAGCAGTCCTTAATGGGAATTATAGTACCCTCGCTTGTAATCCCGATGAAGGACTGTTCGTATAAGGGGGAACATCTCGAAGCTAGTGTGTTCGATGAACTGCGATAGTTCACGCCTCCGGGGTGGACTCCCTAAACCCTAAACCAAAACACTAGACCCGAGTAAAGCTGGATGTCCGATACTTGACGGAACACCCTCGGCACGTGCAGGTGGAGTTTCCCCTCGTGGTCCGGCTTGGCACATTTCTGAACAAGAGCTCAAGGTCAGAGCCTGGTCCCCTGGCATAGGATCTCAGAATGCAGTGCCAGCGAACCGTCCTTGAACCATGAAACCCCAACAAAGGGCAACTCCACAGTTGGGTTCCGATTTACGGTTTCGGGTTCAGGGGGTTTTTATGATTTTCAGGGTTTAGGGTTTAGGGTTTAGGGTTTAGGGTTTTTATGATTTATGCATGTGCATGTAAAGTCGAACCATGCCCGCGCTTGGCTTGGAGAGGTTACTGGGCAGTTAGAAGTGGGGGCTATACAGAAGTTTAGGGTTTGCCCTAGATGCTAAACCCGAAACCCTAAACCCTAAACACCAATCCCCAAACCCTAAGCCCCAAACCCTAAGCCCGAAGCACTACACCCCAAGCCCCGAGCTCCAACCCCCAACCCCCCCACCCCGGGCTTAGGGTTTAGGGTTTAGGGTTTAGGGTTTGGGGTTTAGGGTTTAGGGGTTGGGGTTTGGGGTTTGGGGTTTAGGGTTTAGGGTTTAGGGTTTAGGATTTCCAGGGCTCTCCTCGACCTTCATGCTGAAGCAGCGCTCCGCGAGCCTCACCGCGCTTGGGGGAATGCCGCAAAAGGCGAGTCTTCAGTCTTGAGAGGGTTTAGGGTTTAGGGTTTGGGGTTTAGGGTTTAGGGTTTGGGGTTTAGGGTTTAGGGTTTAGGGGTTTAGGGTTTAGGATTTGGGGTTTAGGGTTTGGGGTTTAGGGTTTAGGGGTTGGGGTTTAGGGTTTGGGGTGTAGGGTTTGGGGATTGGTGTTTAGGGTTTAGGATTTAGGGTTTGGGGTTTAGGGTTTGGGGTTTAGGGTTTGGGGTGAAGGGTTTAGGGATTGGGGTTTGGGGTTTAGGGTTTAGGGTTTGGGGTGTAGGGTTTGGGGTGTAGGGTTTGGGGATTGGTGTTTAGGGTTTAGGGTTTAGGGTTTGGGGTTTAGGGTTCAGGGTTCAGGGTTTAGGGTCTTAGAGGTTTAGGGCGTTTAGGGTGCAGGGTTTGGGGTTTAGGGTGTTCAATCAAAGCCTGCCTTGCCCCCAAGTGCATTGAAGCCCCAAACTGTGTCTCCAGGTTGAGGGCTTCAGGGCTGCAGGGTCTACGCCCTAAACCCTAAACCCTAAACCCTAAACCCTAAATTAGTGATTCCATCTTCATACCTTCAAGAATGCCAAAGGAACCCGTCAGCCCTGTGCCCTGAAAAGCAAGGCCTTCGACAAAATCCGACACCCCAAACCCTAAACGCCCTAAACCGTGAACCCCTAAACCCCTGCCCAGATCCCTAAAATCTAAACCCCGAAAAACCCTAAACCCCAACCCTCTTTCAACCCTAAACCCTAAACCCTAAACCCTAAACCCCAAACCCTAAACCCCAAACCCTAAACCCTAAACCCTGTTTCAGTAGGGCGGCAGAGTGTTGGCAATCGGCGCGCCAGCTGCTCTGTCGCTGCTGCGGGGGGCGCCCTCCAGGTTCAACAGGCTGTAGTAGACCTGTTCTTTTGTGGGGATTTTGGGGGTTCAGGTTGAGGGAATTAGGGTTTAGGGTTTAGGGTTTAGGGTTTCAGGGTTTCAGGGTTTAGGGCTCTGGGCTTTAGGGATGTTCAGGTTGCTTGGGATCTTAGGTTGCCTGGGGTTTGCGACGACTGCTTAGGGTTAGAGGCTTACGGCCCCAGCCCCTCGTGCTTTGGGCACCCATCTTCCTCCCAAAAGGAAACAAGCTTGCTGGTCTTTAGTAGGAAGCTGTGGAATCACGTACCTTACAAAACCCTGGAGTTTACGATCTTCAGAGCATGGGGCCGCCGGCCTCAGGAAGCAAACGAGAGAGACGGAGAGAGAGAGAGACGAACAGAGACGAAGAACGAGAGAGTGAGAGAGGGACCCCAGGGTTTAGGGTTTAGGGTTTAGGGTTTAGGGTTTAGGGTTTAGGGTTCAAACCCGAAGATAGAGATCGGAGGGGCGGCAGGGAGGGAGAGAGAGAGAGTGACAGCAAGAGCGAGTCTGGCGGAGTCGGCGCGGGCCCCAGGGGCCCTCAATGCGCCACGCAAAAGCGCGTGTCAGGCATAAACCCTATAAGCCCTAGAGCCCTGAAGGCTTGAACGCTAAACCCTAAACTCTCTGCTTTTGAAGCCACTAAAGCCTAGATGTTTAAACCCCGAAGCCCTAAGCCCTAAACCCTAAGTAGGGAATGAGGGAATGAGTTAGGTACCTTCGTATCCCCCTATAAAAGCAACTTGTACATACCCTTTGAGGGGTTCTGTAAGATACCGAATTTCCTCATTCCATACTAAGAACCTGTAAGTGAAAGAGTCCCCACACCCCAGGCAGAAACAACCTCTGACAGGGGAGGCAAAACCCAACAAATCCCGCCTTAAAGTCTGCAAACGAGAAAACCCAAAGGTCCTAAAAAAGAACCCGGAACATTTAAACCCCAAGCGCCCTAAACCCCTCAAGCAGCCCTAAACCCTAAACCCTAAACCCTAAACCCCGGCCTGCTCCGTCTGGACGGCGATGTTCTCCCAGCTAAACTCCCTGACTGCCTTGGCCTGGGCATTCTTGCCCATCCACCTGGATTGGCAGGGCTTAAGATTCGGGTTTAGGGTTTAGGGTTTAGGGTTTAGGGTTTCGGGTTTAGGGTTAGGGTTTAGGGTTTAGGGCTGAGGGTTTCGGGCTTAGGGATCCTAAGCCCTTAGGAGTTAGGGTTCCATGCAATGCTTCCGGCCCCCTCAGCTTGGGTGAAGAGCCGAGGACTCCATGATCGGGGAAACGGTTTAGGGTTTCGGGTTTTCTGGTGTGTAGGGCCTTAGACTTAGCTGCTGAGTTCAGAACCCCCCAAAACGTGTACACTTCCAGCTCTATATGGGGTTATAGTATCCCAAAAAGCGTAAAGTGTACCCACTCAGCGACTAAGTCGAAGACTGTGTAGGAATCCTTGTTGCGAATTGGGGTGGATTGCTTGGACGGTTCGGCCCGGCCTTTCAAACATCCCAAGGGCACTAACAACTTTAACCAGCAAAAACCGCAAATCCCAGACCAGCAGCCCTGAACCTTAAACCGGCCCCAAGCCCTTGCTAGCCGAAACCCTAAACAAACCCTGAACAGACCGACCGCCTCACACCCCCTCCTGGCCTGAAGTGAACCAAACTGAGCAATCTGGGGTTGGGGCGGCTTGGGGCTTAGTTGGTTTCGGGTTTAGGGTTTAGGGTTTAGGGTTTAGGGTTTAGGGTTTAGGGTTTTGGGTCCTGGTTTTAGCTTCAAAGCACTTTCAGGGCTCAACCCGGAAGATGGCCAAAGACCTACCTACGCTTGTAACAGGATTTAGGGATTTGGGGAAAACTATGTGGGTAGTTCTCTAAATTAGGGTCCCTTGTGAGGATCCTTTTCTAAAGGTGCCGCCTTGCAATGGGTACCCAAAAAGGGGGCCCTAGTTTAGGAGACTACCCATGTACCTTGCGTCCCCTAGACAACGCTTGAGAAACGGTATAACAGACCGAAATCATGCCGAGGAATACAAAAGGGTGCCCCTTTTCGAGTTTAAAGGGGGTGATGAAGGAGCCTAAACCCTCAATAGGGTTTGGGGTTTGGGGTTTAGAGATCAGGGCCTCGAGTGCTCGAAATTCTCAAGGATCTTGCAGCAGCCCCAGGCAATGCTTCCGGGGTCCGGATCCACCAGATAGCCATCCTCTTTCAATCCCCTAAACCCTAAGACCCTAAGACCCTAAGACCCTAACAACCTGAGAACCTGAGACCCTAAACCCCAAACCCTAAACCCTAAACCATGAAACCCTAAACCCTAAACCCTAAACCTAAAACCCTAAACCCTAAACCCCAAACCCCAACCTTGCCCTTTTTGGAAGGTGTAAGCATCTACATGGGTGGATCCTTTGGGTCAACATTGAGCCCCAAGGTTTTCTCTACAGTTTGCATCGGTTTGGACCCACTTGGGGGGGGGGGGGGGGTTAGGGTTTAGGGTTGAGGGTTGAGGGTTTAGGGTCAGATGCTACCCTACGGCAAGGCTGCACCCAAAACCTGAACCACCATGTTTTTGCTGAGCTCTAAAACAGAACCCAGAACCCAGAAGGGCCTGTTTAGAGTTTAGGGTACTCTGAAACCATCACAAATTCCTGCCGCAACCGCCATGAAAGACTGTAGGGGAGGAACAATCAATAATAGGATTGACACGAACTAAGTCGGTTTGTGATGTCTGATTTGGAACTCTTAAGTCTAGCAAGTTGCCTACTTCAGTAGTTGTGTATCCCGATCCAGCCTCTGCTATCAATGTATCTACCTCGCCCTTATTCGTACTTGGTTTGTAATTGGATACTAGTCTGGAAGTTCGTATCAATCTCACTCTCGATATAGTAATTCGTTTGTGGGTGTTAAGCTGGAAGTTAGTAGGTAAGTTTGAACTATCTGAGTTGATGTATAGTAGTTCGAAAATGTTGAATCAATATCTGCTTGTTGTAACATGCTTGGCGTTTGCTACAAACTCACCCAGTGCCCCCAGTGACTTGGTCCAAGCGTTGCAGGTGATCCAGGTGTCCCAAGTGACCAGGTGAACGAGGTGTCCCAAGTGCCAATGCCCCCAAGTGCTCCAAATGCCCTCCGCCCCCTAGTGTTCCAAGTGACCCAGGTGTGCCAAGTGCTCCTAAGTGACCCAACATCCAAGGTGACTCACGCGCTCTCTTCTGCTCCAAGAGAACCATGTGGCACAAGCTTTAGGTGCCGTAACCCCGGGAAGTGACCCAAGTGTCCTGACCGAGTGAATGAGGTGTCCCCAGCGAAACTGCCCCCAAGTGCTCCAAGTGTCCCAAGTGACCCAAGTGACTCCAAACGACCAAAGCGTGTGCTCAAGTGGCCCAGCGTTCCCAGCCAAGTGTTCCCAGTTCTCGCAAAAGTGTTCACGTGTTCCAAGTCTGACCCCAAGCGACCCAAGTGTACCAAGTGCTCCAAGCGAGCCATGTGATACGCCTCATAGGTGGCTTCAATGAAGCATTTCATATCAGGTTCGTCAAAATCACCTTGCATCAAGAGCACGTATTTCTTTGCAATCTTACCTCCATTGGAGTTCGACGGTCTTGGGGTGGGTAGGTCTGCAGACTACTGCGCGCTGACAAAGTGCGCTTCCGTTTGGCACGCCCTAAACCCTAAACCCTAAACCCTAAACCCTAAACCCTAAACCCGAGGGTCCTCTCCCGGCTTCACGAAGTCCCTCGGACCGCCCGAGGTCGTTGCAACCACGGGCTTGCCGGAGGCCCAAGCCTATCAAAGGGTTTAGGGTTTAGGGTTTAGGGTTTAGGGTTTAGAGTTCAATTGGGGTTTAAGCCGACCTTCCAGAAGGTGCTTACACCAAGCCGTGGGCAGGAGTTGGGGAGTTAGCTGGGAAACCAAAGCTGCAAGAGGACGAAGCCCCCCCCAGGCCACTCAACTCGAAATCCTCAACCCTAGGCCCTGAACCCTAAACCCTAAATCTGAACAAAGGCCTCCAGCACGACGATGCCAAAGGGCTCGTTGCGGCTGGGAACCACGACGGCATCGCAGGACTTGAAGAGTGCCTGTAGGGTTTAGGGTTTAGGGTTTAGGGTTTAGGGTTTAGGGTTTAGGGTTTAGGGTTGCTTATGGTTTAGGGTGTGAGCAGCCCAGCATGCGAGTGGGCCACTCAGAACGCGGCAGTGCACGGGATATGGGGCTTTACGAAGATAGGGGGGGGGGGGGGGGGGGGCACCCCAATCATAGACCCCCAAATAGTATAGGATCCCCTAACTATAAGGACCCCAAACAAAGTATCCCTAATATTGCAAACCCGCACATCGCATCAGGGTTGCATGGTTTGTTATGGTATAGTTACACTGAAACCCTACGTCACAGCTGCCAGGTCCCAGCCTTCAAATGGGAGCTGCCACTTTTCAAGGAGCCGGTGAAGCAAACAGCATGGCCTTGGGGCGTGAGATGTCGGCCACCCGGAACCCTGAACCCTGAACCCTAAACCCTAAACCCTAATTCCTAAACCCTAAAACCTAAGGTGGCAATGGAGGTCGAGCTTGAAAGGACAGCACCTGCCTCTTCTAGGCTGCCGAAGATCCGAAAAGCGGGCTTATCATACTGACCCTAGGGTTTTGGGGTGTAGGGTTTAGGGTTTAGGGTTTGGGGTTTAGGGTTTGGGGTTTGGGGTTGAGGGTCTAGGGTAGGTTTTCGGGGCTCTTGAGGGTTCAGGGTTGCCAGGGGACGGAGGGCTTCTCAGACTCACCCACCAAGAGGCTGGCTTTTGGGCTCTTCAGGGCTTAGGGTTTAGGGTTTAGGGTCTAGGGTCTAGGGTTTAGGGTTTAGGGCTGCCACCCCTAAAGGCAGTCCTGGGGCGCCCGGCCGACGCCTAAAGCGTGAACCCGGCCCTGGTTGTGCGCAAGGAGGTGGCCGTCGCCCACAATCACGAACTTAGCATCGCCTGGCTTCGGCTGCAGGTTTGGGGTTGAGGGTTTAGAAGCTTAAGGTTTAGGGTTTAGGGGTTGGGGTTTGGGGCTTTAGGGTTTAGGGTTTAGGGTTTCGGGTATAGGGGCCTGGAGTTTTGAGGTTGAGGGTTTTTAGGGTTCAGGGTTTAGGGTTTTAGGGTTCCAGGGTTTAGGGTTTGTGGTTTGGAGCTTTAGGGTTTTGGGGCTTTGGGTGGGCTCTGAGTTTTGCGGGCCAAACTCTTGCAAACTTGCCTAGTAGCACCACCAACTAATTACAAGCCACTGCAAGGCAACTGCATCTCCGATGCTGGGGTCTAGCCGAAGAGTGGAAAGCATGCCTGCAAGTTGGGCTGAGAAAATGGGACCTCACCCCTAACAAGCAAGGAATAACTGGCCGGGTAGAAGGGAACCTCAGTCTAAGCGGAGCAAGGGTTTAGGGTTTAGGGTTTAGGGTTTAGGGTTCAGGGTTTAGGGTTTAGGGTTAGTTAAGGTTTAGGGTTTAGGGTTTAGGGTTTAGGGCTTAGGGCTTAGGGCTTAGGGCTTAGGGCTTAGGGCTTAGGGCTTAGGGCTTAGGGTTTAGGGCTTAGGGCTTAGGGTCCTGCAGCCCCACTTTTAGCGCTATGGCCTTGCCCACTCAGTGCTGAAGGTGCTTTGGTGTGTACATGACAGCGGCCTTCTGGGAATGTGGGAGCTGGGACGTACGCCCCTGAACCCTAAACCCTAAACCCTTGGGCAGAGGGGGCAAGTGGGCGGGAGGGCTGCTGAATCGGCATGCCTGGTGCTTTCTGCCCAAGATGCGCTGCCTTCCCGGCTCTAAGTGTGGGGCTTGGGGGCACATGGCCCTAAACCCTAAACCCTAAACCCTAAATCCTAAACCCTAAACCTTAAATCCTAAACCCTAAACCCTAAACCCCAAGCCCCCGAACTCCCTGAGCCCCAATCCTCAGCATCCGGGCCTCGTGCACCGAGCACGTGCGGGATCGCCTCGATGAGCAGGTCGCAGCCCTTCTGGGCGGTGTGGCGGCCCACGAAGAGGAACCTGGGCGTTTGAGGGGAGGTTTGGGGGTTTGTAGGTTTGTTCTCGGGTTTGTTGAGTTTATAGGGTTTTGTAGGCTTTATGGGGTTTGTAGAATTTGTAGGGTTTGTAGGGTTTGCACGGTTTAGAGGGGTTAGAGGGGTTTGTAGGGTTTATGGGGTGTAGGGGCGCAGAAGTTTAGGATGATCACTAAGGTCAAGAGAGAGCGGCAGGCTCTGAACTCAATGGAATGAAGAGAGACGGAGCATTCATTGCTGTGTTTAGAGCCGCTCAACCCTTACTCCCAGAAGCTCGAGCCACAGATCTTGAACCCTAAAGCCAGCGCTTGGAGATTCATGGTCAATGGTCGGGGTATAAGTACCTGAGCTTAACGGTTCTGAGCCATAGCAACTAGACCCAGCATACTTAAAACCTACTGACAATAACGTACCCCAGAAACCCCAAAGTCTGGATAAGTCTGGGACCTGAATGGTGACCACCAAAGGGTTTAGGGTTTAGGGTTCAGGGTTTAGGGTTTAGGGTTTGCTTAGGGCTCAGGCTCCCAAGAATCGCAACCTAAGCGCGAGTAAGGTTTCGGGCTCTTAGGGCTCTTAGGGCTCAGGAGCCTTGGAACCCAAGCTGGGGGGGGGGGGCTTGTGAACTGGCGAGCTACTCCTGGGATTCAAGGCTTTGAGCTTTCTGGTACTTCCATGACTTCGATTTGTTGTGGTGAAAGGTTACATTCCAAAGATGCAAAAAGCCAAAGGCTTCTGTTTCAGCTCATGTCCACTCCACTCCCAAAGATCTCTTCTTGCCAAGTTGGTCTTCTGTGTGCACCGCTCACGTGAACGTAGCCAGTGCTACCTCAGGCGGCAGGCGGGTGGCCACACCGGACGACGCCGCCGCGCTTAGGCAGCTCAACCTGGTCTGCGTAGTGCACCCGGTACCACGATACGCCAGGAGCGGGTGGAAGGACTCCCAAACCTCCGGCCGCGACCGGGGTCTCAAGGGCAGCAACAGTCTGCGACCGATCATGATCGGTCGGCACCGGCAAGGCTGGGCTCAGGTCGCGAGTCGAGGGCCCTCAAGGCCCGGTGCTGATGAGGTCTGCCACCGCGAGACGTGCGCGTGGGGGTCCGTAGCCCCGGAGAGGGTTTAGGGTTTAGGGTTTTTACTTTGGGGCCGAATTCCCCGCAGAGGCACCTGGGTCCTTTGGGATTTCGAATCCCCTTTCGAAGGGGCAGCCCCAAGAATGTAAGACTTAAGTGGGTTCAGGACTCTAGGGTTTAGGGCTTTGAGTTTGGGGCGTAGGGTTTAGAGATTGAGTTTACGGTTTCGGATTTGGGGCTTAGGGTTTCGGATGCTTCGCGGGCGGAGGCGCATAGGATCCATCCGGCCGAACCCTTTGTCAGCCTTGGTGTTGCCGATCCACTCGTCCTCGCAGGGCTTCGGGGCACAGGCAGAATGTTTGGTGGTGGCTTCAGGGTTTAGGGTTTAGGAATCGGGGTTCAGGGTTCAGGGTTCAGGGTTTAGGGTTTAGGGTTTTGGGTTTAGGGTTTTGGGTTTTGGGTTTAGGGTTTACAGCAGGGTTTAGGGTCTTAACGGTTTGATAGAGCTTGTTCAGGGCTTTTTGTAGCCTACAGGGTTCCAGTAGGTCTCTGTCGGTTTCTGGTACCTAGGATTTCAGGGCACAGCAACTTACTGGTTCCGTGCGGCTGTTGCAACTTAGGACATCTGTGCTTGGTAACTTGGTGATAGGGTGACTGTGCAACTTGGGGTTTTAGGGTCTAGCAATTCTCTGGCTTTGCAGTTACTGCGGGTTATGCAGTGAGGCTCTAGTAACCTATGCTAAGCCCTATATATATATATATATATATATATACCCCAAATGTGCCAAACCCTGGACTAATTTCAGGATGGCCAGTCAGGGTTCAGGCTTCTAGACTTGCTGATGGACCTGTTTAGGGTCTCGGGGTTTAGGGATGGATTTGGGTTAGGGTTTAGGGTTTAGGGTTTAGGGTTTAGGGTTTAGGGTTTAGGGTTTAGGGTTCAGGGTTCAGGGTTCAGGGTTTAGGGTCCAGAGTTTAGGGTCTTGGGTCTAGGGTTCAGAGGTTAAGGTGCCCAGCTATAACCATTTACAACCAGATCTTGGCAGAGAACTTATGACCTTGCGCACATTGTAGTTGCTCAACACCAACCCTAAACCCTAAACCCTGAACCCTGAACCCTAGACCCTAAACCCTAATTAAACCCTAGTGCCAAAGCCCAAGTAGGACCCAACGGCAGAACCATGGCCAAGCGCGCCTCCCACTCCATGTTGGCGATTGGGGTGGCGTGAATGCCATTGTAGATGACGGACATGCGATTCCTCAGTAGGGTTTAGGGTTTAGGGTTTAGGGTTTAGGGTTTAGGGTTTAGGGCTTAGGGCTTAGGGTTTAGGGTTTCGGGTTTAGGGTTTAGGGTTTCGGGTTTAGGGCCCTAAACCCTGAACCCTCAACGAGTGGAGCCCCCCAGTCGAAAATCTGGGGGAGCCGCAGGTGAAGCCCCTGATGCAATCACGAGGCGCACTAGGGCGACGCAGGATTTCGGGGGGTGACGTCTCTCGGCATCACGATGTGAACTTTCTGTTCTTGTTGGAGACCCCTAAACCCTAAACCCTAAACCCTAAACCCTAAACCCTAAACCCTAAACCCTAAACCCTAAACCCTAAACCCTAAACCCTAAACCCTAAACCCTAAACCCTAAACCCTAAACCCTAAACCCTAAACCCACCCTGGCTGGGGCGAGGGGGGCGGAGAGGAGCTTGGGGATGCCGGGAGCTTAGCTTGGGTTGACACCTTCTTCAAGGGTGTCCTTGGCACACACTTACCACATTAGGGTTTGGGGTTTAGAACCCTAAACCCTAAACCCTACTGGTTACTATAGAGTCGGTCTAAGTATCTACGATATGGGTACAAGGATACTCTGGGGGAGGCAGGCTTGGCTATGCAGCTGTCTCACTCACGGGTTTAGGGTTTAGGGTTTAGGGTTTCGGGTTTAGGGTTTAGGGGTTAGGGTTTAGACTGTATCCCTCAGCCGCCATGTGAACCTGGATGGCTTAGGCCTGCGCCCATCAGCACCGCACACGCCGCAGACCTGTTCCGGATCGGGGATCTTTGAAGAAATGCCTCTTATAGACCCAGGAGGAACCTGGAAATGAAAAGGGCGCCCTTTTTGGTTTTAAGGGGATGAGAAGGGAACCCCAACCCCCCAAAAAAAGAAATAAGGGCCTACTCCGGGCCCGAGTCCCCCAGATAACCGCATTTGAAACAACCACTCCCCATTCTCACACTTTCAGCGTCTTTGTAAGTGTTTAGGGTTCAGGGTTTAGAGCAGCCAACAAATGCGCCACGACTATCACAGTACGACTTCAGAAGACTACTTCGGGGTCCTGACTGTTGGAGTTGCTTGAGGGTTCATGGGCAGGTACAAACTATAACTATAGTTGCAACCAGTTACAAACTCATTTTGGGGCAGTTCTAAACCTACTTCTGACCATGTAAGCGGATAAGCCCAAGAATGCCCTGACTACCTGAAGACGGCACAGGGTCAGGGCTACTCTATGTTCATTGAGCCGACAAAAAGAAAGAAACAAAAACAAAAAAAAAGCCTCACCTACCTCCCAACTCCTCTCACCCCTCTTGCAAGCCCTAAACCCCTAAACCCTTAACCTAAAGCCTGACACCCCTAAAGCCTACACTGTTTGCAGTGCATGTTTAGACGACCCAAAGATGCCACTTCAAATCTGTATGGCTTAATACGGACGTTGGGGCCTTTAGGGTGTGAGGTTTATGGGTTTAGGGCTTATAGATCTTAGGCTAAAGGCCGGCTTCTGCTGCTACAGCTTTGCACCTCCTAGCGCGCTTGGGGGAGTTGAGTTGCCGCTTCAGCACAAGAACATGTCCGCATGCGCCGCAGGCTCCTCACCCTCTTGCGGGCCCGGATGGGTTTAGGTTTAGGGTTTAGGGTTTAGGATTTAGGGTTTAGGGTTTAGGGTTTAGGGTTTCGGGTTTCGGATTTAGGGTTTACCCTCAAAGAGGGATGGGGTCGGCGTCGCTGGGGCTCATTTCATGAGCCTCGCTCGTGGAACCGGCTGCGCTCGCCTGACGTTCTGCGCAAATCCTTTCATCGCACCGGATGCCGTGCTCACAGGGCCTTAGGGTCGTCATAGTTATGGCTATAACCTCGCTTGGGTTGCTGATAACCCTGCTTGTACCTTCGACAAGCCCACAAACTTCGGATTCCGCGAAGAAAGTTCTCAACCCTAAAACCCTAAAACCCTAAACCCGAAACCCGAAACCCTAAACCCGAAACCCCAAACCCTAAACCCTAAACCCTAAACCCCAAACCCTAAACCCTAAATCCCAAGAGCTCTCTCGCCTCATCCTTCAGGACCCCCGAGACGCAAATCAGCTTGTCGGCGGCCCCGCAGGAACATCGCTCCAAGTCCTTGATGCCTCAGGCATTGGGCATTCTGGGGAGCTTTGAGTCCATGGCCTGTGCCCTAAACCCCAAACCTAGGGTTTAGGGTTTAGGGGTTTAGGGTTTAGGGTTTAGGGTTTAGGGTTTAGGGTTTAGGGTTTAGGGTTTAGAAACCGCAAAACTTCAAACGCCTAAGCCCAAAACCCCAACCCCAAAGCCAAAACATATAGTACCTTTGCGGTTGGGGTTACCTACCCTCCTTGCACCCCCCCTCCTTTAGTATGTATGCGAGTACATGTACCCCTTGGGTACGAGCGGAGAATAGTACGCAGGCAAAGACACCATAGAGTTGTGCGTTCACTCAATGGAACCGGCTTAGGGCGGTCCTACGCAACAGCCTCTACTGAATAACTACGTACCCGGAACCCTAAACCCTATAACCCCTTCACACCGATCCCAGTAGGGCTTGGGGCTCATATAGATGTCCGACAAAAGCCCCCCACCATCCAGTGTAATATCCACTGAACACGGACATGTAGATCAGCCCTCCCCACCCTCCCCGCCCCACCGCACAAATGCTTTGGGTAGAGTTTCGGGTTGAGGGTTTAGGGTTTGGGGTTTCGGGTCTAGTTTAGGGTTTCGGGTCAAGTTTAAGGTTTAAGGCTTGTGAAGCACAAACTGGTGCAAGCTTGCATGTTCACTCGGCTGCCTCCTGGCCTACAAAGTTGGCAGGGTTTAGGGTTTAGGGTTTAGGGTTTAGGGTTTAGGGTTTAGGGTTTAAAGGTTCATCACTTGAAGACCCCCCAAAAGCCCATGATTTAGGGAAAAGTTAGGGAATGGAAGGTTTCGGGCGCCAGGTGCGGACGTGATGCCCGGCACTGCACCAAACCTTTTAACCTCAAAAAAATCCCCAATCCTGGCGAAGCCTGGAAGCCTCTCAAAAGCCAAGACCATAAACCCTAAACCCTAAACCCTAAACCCTGTGAGCTCTCCCCTCAACCTGTCCTGGATGGCCCTTGCCCATGTCGCCGTTTCGGCCCCCCTCCGTGGAGTGCATCGTGAAGACGACGCGCTTGCCCTGCAGCGGATTTGGGGGAGTTTAGGGTTTAGGGTTTTGAACTAGGGTGTTCTTTGAAGGAATTCAAGTGGGTAGTTTTGGGGGGGGTCTATTCCTCTAAGGGTGCTGTGCTATGTCTATATATATATATACATATGTTTATGTATATATATATACACATATATATATATAGGACCCCAAAAAAGGGACCCTCATTCAGAGAACTACACGACATACTGTGCTGGCTTCAAGGCTCTGAAGCTTAGGGTTTAGGGTTTAGGGCTTAGGATTTAGGGTTTAGGGTTTAGGACTTAAGGTTTAGGGGCCTGCGCCCGTGAACATCAAACTCTAGACTCTCCACCCAGGACGCCCGAAGGGTGCAAGAATGTCGAGGCTTTAGAGGTTAAGGTGCCAGGAGAAGATTCTCTCCTGTCGACTTTTTGGGGGTTTAGGGTTTAGGGTCTAAACCCTAAACCCTAAACCCTGAACCCTAAACCCTAAACCCCCTAGATCATGTTCAGGGACCCGCGCCTGCCCCTTGAGCTCCATGATTCCAGGCCCTGGCGGCGGCGGGTTTGGCGTTTAGGGCTGATAGGGCTCCCCAAGTTGAAGGTGCATCTGCAGTTGCAAGAGGGTTTAGGGTTTAGGGTTTAGGGTTACGGTTATAAAGTATTCCTTCATCGAGCTAGAACTCGCAACAAATGCAGCTCTCCCACTTATGGCCCTACTTTACAATTGCCCGTCTGTGTTCCAGGATTTTATCCTTCAATCGACTAACCCCAAACCCTAAACCCTCAACCCTCAACCCTAAACCCTAAACCCTAAACCCTAAACCCTAAACCCTCTAGCGCTGCTCTCTGGGTACTGGCACCCTTCCTGCAACCCTGCCGTTAAGGACCCAGGCTTCCAAACTCTGCTCCTGATAGGGTTTAGGGTTTAGGGTTTAGGGTTTAGGGTTTAGGGTTTAGGGTTTAGGGTTTAGGGCTTAGGGTTTAGGGCTTAGGCCCGCTTCTCTTCTCTCTAAACCCTTAAACCCCTGAACCTTAAAACCCTGAAAACCTATAACCCTAAAACCGCCAAACCCTAAACCCCTAGAAACCTACAATCCTAGAACCCTGGAACCATTAAACTCTACCAACCTAAAACCCTCAAACCCTCAACTCGAACTCAAAAATCTTGATCCATGCTCACATGCGGGTCGGGTCGCATAAGCCTAGGCCCAAACCAGAGGGAGGGTCTCGGCCCCTAAACCCTAAACCCTAAACCCTAAGCCCTTGACCCAAACACCTGGGGTTGAGGGTGTAGGGTTGAGGTTTCTGGTGGAGGAACACAAGCTCAGATTCCATGATCCGGCATTGCAAAACCAATGTGCCCTGCTCATCCTGCTTAGTTCTCTAAGTCGAGTTCACTTCCAAACAAGAGCCACGGAGCTTTCTCGATAGCCACAAGCAACCATGACACCCGCGCCTGTCATCCAGTCGTGTCCGTGCACGATGTCGAAGGGACCCCAAACCTGATTTGAGACAAACCCCCGCCAAAACCCCGAACCCTAGGTTTAGGGATTAGGGTTTAGGGTTTAGGGTTTCGGGTTTCGGGTTTAGGGTTTAGGGTTTTGCTAAAGCCACGAGCTACCCTTCTCACAGCCCATACCCCCAGCACCCTCCTCACATCCTCTCAGCTCCCCGCCGACTCATGGCCATTCAGGGCATGCACAAAAGCTCCGCACATGTTGCGCGCGTCCTGGCTCTCAGGGCCCTTTAGTCGCAAACCCTGTTTTTGGTCAGTTCGGGAAGCTGTGGGCCCAAAAGGCTCTCCTAAAGACCCTGAACTAGACCATGAATCCAAACAGTCTCTTTGCCTACATAAAAGAAAAGCTGAACCCTATCTCAAGAAAGCCCTAACCGCGAGTCCCAACAGCCTCCAACCGCTGAATGTTGCCCTCATCCTCTTGACAACCCTAAACCCTAAACCCTAAACCCTGAACCCTGAACCCTGAACCCTAAACCCTAAACCCTAAACTCTGCAAGCCGAGTCTAAGTCTGGGGGCCTCTGCGGCTTCCGCCACTTTGGGCCCAGACAGGTGCTGGGTCGCTTGGGCTTCTTGGGCAGGGTTTAGGGTTTAGGGTTTAGGGTTTAGGGTTTAGGGTTTAGGGTTTCGGGTTTAGGGTTTAGGGTTTGGGGTTTAGGGTTTAGGGTTCAGGGTTTAGGGTTCAGGGTTCTTGGTCTGGGGTGCAGGGTTTAGGGTTTAGGGTGTAGGGTGCCGAAAGAAGTTGCAGGTAGCAGCTGCTTTGCCAAAGTACGCCCATGCTCACCTACTTCCTCTTCGTTCAGCTGATGTTGCACGTCGGGCCGACTCACGGTTTCGGGCTTTGGGTTAACAGGGCTCAGGCTCAGGCGTGCTGGCAACCTATATGGGTGTAAGGTTGACCCAAACCCGCAAAGTGTGTCACAAAATGGCCCATTTCTGGGGCGTTGGGCCAGGCTATGGTGTTCTTTTACATACGTTGGGGCTCCGGGCAGAGTTTAGGGTGAGGATCTATGCCCGCCGGTCCTGAACCAAGCACCCTGCGGTGTTGTAGCCCACCTGGTGCAGACACACAGTCCTAACTCCAAACCTTTTAGGGTTTAGGGTTTAGGGGATGAGGGTTTAGGGTTCTGTGAGCGTAGGGTTTGGAGGTTTAGCAGGCTGCTTCTGCGAAGGCCTCAATTAACTAACCGGGCGGGTCCGCTTGTCATCAAGGCACCTGACAACTGAGGGGAAAGAAGGCATAGCTAGGGTTTAGGTTTAGGGTTTAGTGTAAACGCAGCCCATATACAACACGCCTGAAACCCTAGGACACAATCCTACTGGGGTTTACGGTTTAGGGTGTTAGGGTCTAGGATTTAGGGCTTCAGGGCTCTGGGTAGGACTGGGGACTTCTTGCTTAAAAGTCCCTACTTTGGAAAAATCAGGGGCTATAGAGAGAATTCATTAAGAGAAACCTTTTTTGAACCCCCCCCCCCCCCCAACATAGGGTTTTAAGGTTTGCCTATGAAGGTCATCCCCCTCCCCATCTCTCCCCCCCCCCCCTCCCTGGTTCATGTTGGGCCTCCTCAAGTACTGTCGGTGGCTGTAGCTGGTGATTGCACCATCCTTCTGACACGCCTCTTGGCCGAAACCCTAAAACCCAAAAAAATCAAAAAAAAAAAAAAAAAAAAAAAAAAAAAAAAAAAAAAAAAAAAAAAAAGAAAAAAAAACAAAACCCTAACAACCCCCGAAACCCGAAAAACCCCAAAAACCTCAAAACTCTGAAAACCCGAAAAGCCCCTAGAAGCCCCAAAGCCCCTAAGCCGCCGGCCTCGTGGTAATGGACACCAAGGATCTCATTGTCCTGCGGATGGCCCTGAGTGGCAGCTTCACGTGCGCCTAAAGTCAAACCCTGGTAGGGTTTAGGGCTTGCCTCCCCTAAACCCCAAACCCCAAACCCCAAACCCTACACCCTAAATCATGAAGCTAAACACTATAAGGCCTAACCCCTAAAGCCTAAACCCCTATAAATCTCAAATCCCCAGATCCCTAAGCCCTAAACTGTGAGACTGGCAGACCCACATGCCGAAACTAAACCCCTCCTCTCGGAACATGATGCGCTGGAAGAGGCCCGAAGCTTGAAAGGGTTTAGAGTTTAAGGTTTAGGGTTTAGGGTTTAGGGGTTAGGGTTCAGTTAGGAGTGGTTCCTTCTTGCCTGGGAAAAAGATCCGTCGGCTTCATGCCCCTCCCAACTCCACTCACGTCTCTTCGAGTGGAGGACAGAAAAAGGCGGTATCACCTCCGGCCCGACGGATTAAGAATCAAACCGCAAAAGAAGAAAAGAGAGAGAGAGAGAGAGAGAAAGAGAGAAAGAGAGAGAAAGAGAGAAAAAGAGAGAAAAAGAGAGAAAGAGAGACAAAGAGAGACAAAGAGAGAGAAAGAGAGACAGAGAGAGAAAGACAGAGAGGGAGCGAGCGCTCTATCAACCCCACAAACATGAAGCGCCCGGCGCCCGATGTAAAGGACTCGCAGAGAATGGCTCTGCAATGGAGGGCGCGGCGGCAAAGGCAGCAGGACCCGCAGAGGAAGGCTCTGCAATGGAGCGGGCGGCGCCATGGGTAAAAGGACCCGCGGAGCTCTGCTACAGAGCCCCAAGGGTAGAAGGTCTCGGAGAGGCTGAGGAGTGGAGCGTAGTAGAGTGGAGGGCGACCGAAGGCAAAGTCTGATCAACTAAAGCGGCATCACCACAGGCGGCTCAAGGATCAAACCGCGACACGAAAGAAAGGACAACCGGACAGACAAGCGAGAACCCTATCACAGCAAACCCTAAACCCTAAACCCTAAACCCTAAACCCTTAACCCTTAACCCTTAAACCCTAAACTGCAACAAAAAAAGGGGTTGCGGGGTTTAAGGGTTCAGGGTGGGGCTTCCACGGCCCCCTCTTCCCTGGCCTGGGAACGCGTGAAGATGTGGACCTCGTGGCCGGCGCCGTTGAGGGCCCCGGCCAGCTCTGTGACGTGGGGGGCCTGCCGCTGTAGCTTAGGGTTTAGGGTTTAGGGTTTAGGGTTTAGGGTTTAGGGTTTAGGGTTTAGGGTTTAGGGTTTAGGGTTTAGGGTTTAGGGTTTAGGGTTCAGGGTTCAGGGTTTAGGGTTAAGGGTTCAGGGCTTTTGGGTTTCTACTCTTCTTCGAACCCAAATCCTCAACCCCTAAACCCCAAACCCGAATTCCCATAGTCCTGTGTAATAGAACCATGGGTTCCAAGAGCAGTGTTGATGGAAGTGGGAGGAGGCCTACAGGGTTCAGGGTTTAGGGTTTAGGGTTTAGGGTTTAGGGTTTAGGGTTACAGGTTGGGGCCCTCTAAGGCTCTCTGAGAATATTCGTCAATCAGACCCTCTGGACCCCCGTCATCGGCAACACGACATGTCCCAAGGTCATGTGGAGTTTAGGGCTTAGGGCTTCTTAGGGTTTGGGGTGTGGGGTTTAGGGTTTCGAGTTTAGGGTCTAAGGTCGAGGCCGGCTGAGCCAGGGAATCAGGGAGGGCCGCGCACATCAAGACACCACACCTTGCCTTGCCAAAATAAACCCCTAGACCCCGAACCTTACAACCTACAACCCTAAACTCCGGAAAGCCCCTCACACTTAACACCAAACACCTATAGAGCCCCAAGACCCAAGAAAAAAACATGCACAAAATACCTTCAACCCTACAAAAACCCTAAAGCCCATAAACTTCTTGCTTTGAGTTCTTAGGGGCCTCTAACTCATGTGCCCTGGGCTCAGCCCGGAGGTCTTTGAAAGCAAATCTTGCAAGTTGCATGGGGAGCTATAAGTACATAGATAGATGCACGGACATCTACACACCTGCGGAGTCAGCAGAAGGAATTACGGCGGAAGTGCTTGTCAGGGGTTGGGAGGGGGATGAGGATGAATTTAAGGGAAAAAAGTATCAATGCAGGCCCTCGGACATAAACGAACATAAAACTCCAAATGCCAAACATGCCTCTGCCGGCTACCCCGAACTACATCCTTTGCCATAAACGAAGCACTGAGTCCGGCACCACGCCACCCACAGCAATGGTGTGAAGGGTCCTTAAAGGATTCTGAGTTTTCAGGGTTTAGGGTTTGGGGGCTAGGGCCCTAAACTCTAAACCCCAAACACTACCGAATTATGGGGATCAGGTTGATGTTCGTCCCGAAGCACCCATATACTCCAGACCGTCAGGCAGAGAGCTTCAAGAATCTTGGGGTTTGCGGGGTGTTCCCCTAAGCCCTAAACCCTACACCCTAAACCTAAACCCTACTCCCTCGACCCTAGACCCTAAACCCTAAGCCCTAGTTTAGGCCTTAGGGTGGAAGGTTTTGGGACTTGCCTAGGCGAAAGCTGACGAGGCCACCCGCCATGACCCCCACACACCCCACACACACACACACTCATGGAATCCTCCCTCTGTTATCCCTATCTCAGTTCACATGCTCCTGCATTCAGAGGTACACACACACACACAATCTTAGGGTAGTCAACGGTCCCTGAATATGGGCCCTTAGGGTGTAGAGTTTAGGGTTTAGGGTGCAGGGTTGAGGGTTTCGGGTTTCGGGGTACATGGTCCCTTAATGTGGACTCCTAACGAGGGGGTTTAGGGTTTAGGTGTACATGGTCCCTTAATCTGGACCCTTACCGAGGACCCCGTATATACCCCTTATGACTTGCCTAGGCGAAAGCTGACGAGGCCACCCGCCATGACCCCCACACACCCCACACACACACACTCATGGAATCCTCCCTCTGTTATCCCTATCTCAGTTCACATGCTCCTGCATTCAGAGGTACACACACACACAATCTTAGGGTAGTCAACGGTCCCTGAATATGGGCCCTTAGGGTGTAGAGTTTAGGGTTTAGGGTGCAGGGTTGAGGGTTTCGGGTTTCGGGGTACATGGTCCCTTAATGTGGACTCCTAACGAGGGGGTTTAGGGTTTAGGTGTACATGGTCCCTTAATCTGGACCCTTACCGAGGACCCCGTATATACCCCTTATGACTTGCCTAGGCGAAAGCTGACGAGGCCACCCGCCATGACCCCCACACACCCCACACACACACACTCATGGAATCCTCCCTCTGTTATCCCTATCTCAGTTCACATGCTCCTGCATTCAGAGGTACACACACACACAATCTTAGGGTAGTCAACGGTCCCTGAATATGGGCCCTTAGGGTGTAGAGTTTAGGGTTTAGGGTGCAGGGTTGAGGGTTTCGGGTTTCGGGGTACATGGTCCCTTAATGTGGACTCCTAACGAGGGGGGTTTAGGGTTTAGGTGTACATGGTCCCTTAATCTGGACCCTTACCGAGGACCCCGTATATACCCCTTATCAGACTAAATCCAATCAGCAAGTCCTAAGCACTAAGCCCTGCCTTAAACCTTAAGTACCCATGTCCAGAAGGCCCTAATTATCCCACAACCCTACCGGAAAATTTGATAAGCTTCTGGCGACTGTGCCTCACGTTACCACAGCAGCCCTTCACTCAACAGAAGCGACGTACACCCTAAACCCTGAAAGGCCGGTTGAAGTGAGCATTCTTCGGAGTCCACGGAGAACCCTGAAGCCTAAACCCTAAACCCTAAACCCTAAACCCTAAACCCTAAACCCCACCAAGCCAAAGCGACTCCCACGAGAGCATCGCGATCTTGAGCGGCTTCCGGGACACCGCGCAGTCCTCTTGCCAGGGAACTTCGAAGGCTTTAGGGCTCAGGCCCTAAACCCTAAACCCTAAACCCTAAACCCTAAACCCTCAACACCCCTAACCTAGGGCTTCTTGACGGAAAGACTTGCTTTCACCTTGGTGGTGCCGTTTCAGCTTAGGGAAGAGGACGCCTTAAACCCTGAGCTTGAAAGGGCAGCAGACCCCGTAGGGTTTAGGGTTTAGGGTTTAGGGTTTAGGGTTTCGGGTTTAGGGTTTCGGATTTAGGGTCTAGGGTTTTAGGTTTTTAGGGTTTTAGGGTGTTAGGGTTTTAGGGTTTTAGGGTTTTAGGGTTTTAGGGTTTTAGGGTTTTAGGGTTTTAGGCTACAGTCTTGCCGAAACCCTAGGCCCCAATCGCTAACCCCCACGCCAACAGCTACAGCCATCTGAACCGGGATGTTTCCGCGTGCTCAAAAACCTTATAAGTAGGACCTCATCTCCGGACGCGTGCTAGACGTCGGCCCTCTGGAATGTGGAGTTCGGGCTGTGTAAGACTTTCAGGGTGTAGGGTTTGCTGTATCTGCTTAGGGTTTAAGGACTAGGGTTTAGGGGGAGGTTCAACTACTGGCCTTCGCAGATCTACCAATGTAGCTCTGCTGTAACTACCCCCTGCCCAAAATCACGTAGACGCAACAAGCCCACCCTAACCCCTAAACACCTAAGGCCACAAGCCCTCAAAGCCCTAAACCTTACAGCCTGAAGGCCTAAACCCTGAACACCCCCAAACCCTAAACCCCCTAACCCCTAAGCCCTAAACACCCAAACCCTAAACCCTAAATCCCAAACCCCAAACCCTAAACCCCAAATCCTAAGCCCTAACTAAGCCCTAAACCCTAAACCCTAAACACTAAACCCTAAACCCTAAACCCCCAAAACCTCCCAAAAGGGAATCACGCGCCTTGGAGCTCTGCATGGCCGCCACAAGCGCCTCGCCACTCCGCGCCAAACGGGCACCAGTCAAGCCCTGGGCGGTTTAGGGTTTAGGGTTTACGGTTTAGGGTTTACAGGGTTTCGGTTTCTTGGAATTTAGGGTTTTAGAGTTTCAGGGTTTGGGAGTTTAGGGCTTTTAGGGCTTTGGGGTTTAGTTAGAACCCTAAACCCCAAACCCTAAACCCTAAACCCTAAACCGCGGGCATTTAGGGCTTTTGGTTCAGGAGCTTAGGATGTTAGGCCTTGAGGATGCTCTTGGGTTCAGAGGCTTGGGGCTTCACGGGTGCCACCCTAAACCCTATTTTCTAAACCCTAGACCCTAAACCCTAAACTTTAATTAAACCCTAAACCCTAAACCCTAAACCCTAAACCCTAAACTCTACTGATGGACTCAGCAAATTGTGGCGGCCACTGCACCCCAAACCCGAAACCCTGGTCTGTTGATAGCAGTTCAGACTAGGTTTAGGGTTGAGGGTTTGATTAGGGTTTAGGGTTTCGGGACGTCCTGAAACTGAAAGTGCGCGCACTTGGTGGAAGAAGGATGTTTAGGGCCAGGTTTACCCTCGAAATCACAAGCCTGCTGAAGATACATAATCCTACCAGGATGAGGTTGATCATAACGATCTACAATAGACTGGTTCGGAGCTAGGTCCTGAAGCATGAACCCCAAGCCGGAACGTCTGATGCCCCTGGCCGAAATACGAATCCCTGTTTTCCGAGCCTGTCGCCCAATGTCATCCCACAATGACCCCAGTATAGTGATATTACAAATAGACATTGAAGCTACCCCCCCCCCCCCCCCTCCTCAAAAAAAAAAAACAAACCCTAAACAATGAACCCTTGTGGGTGCCGGGTTCAGGGCTTGAGTCCCTGAGCCCTTCCAAACCTAAGCCCACATCCCAACACTCAACCCCACAATTCGCACCTGTTCTATCCTGAACTCTTAAACCTTTAATCCAGTACCTAGTCTAAGTCCCTATATTGCCTTGAAGCCTCGAGCTCTGGACTTAAGTGCAGAGCCGAAGTTATTCGAGCTGGTTTGGCATTTGGGTTAACCAAGGATTTAGGGTTTTAGGCTTTAACAGCTTTAGGAGTCTAGGAGTCTAGGAGTCTAGGAGTCTAGGGGTTTAGGGTTAGGGTCTAGGGTCTAGGGTTTAGGGTTTAGGGGGTTTAGGGGGTTTAGGGGGTTTAGGGGGTTTAGGGGGTTTAGGGGGTTTAGGGGGTTTAGGGGGTTTAGGGGGTTTAGGGGGTTTAGGGGGTTTAGGGGGTTTAGGGGGTTTAGGGGTTTAGGGGGTTTAGGGGGTTTAGGGGGTTTAGGGGGTTTAGGGGGTTTAGGGGGTTTAGGGGGTTTAGGGGGTTTAGGGTTTAGGGGGTTTAGGGGGTTTAGGGTTTAGGGATTCCACCCGGCAACTTCACAATAGCGGGTCTAGTGCCGAGCCCAGTGACATCCATGAGCTCCTGCATCGTCCACTCCTCGTCACCTTTGCTCGGAACACCCAGCCCTTCTTGAACAGATCTGGTCAGTTCTGGGTTTAGGGTTTAGGGTTTAGGGTTTAGGGTTTAGGGTTTAGGGTTTAGGGTTTAGGGTTTAGGGTTTAGGGTTTAGGGTTTAGGGTTTAGGGTTTAGGGTTTAGGGTTTAGGGCTTCTCCAAGTTTTGGTGCCTTTGTGGGTGTCCCAAAAATAAGTGGGGGCAGCCTTGTAATAGAAGGATCCCGAAAGGGACCACACTTTGGAGAAGTGACCATATAAGTCGGGTTGAGGGTTTTGGGGTTTTACGGTTTAGGGTTTCAGGGTGTAATAGCTGAAGCCCTAAACCCTAAACCCTAAACCCTAAAACTTCTTCGCTCAGCCCGAAGCCCGAAACGCACTCTCGGATTCAGGAATCAAGAGAACCAGGCTTGGTTGAGTCCCCAAGGGCCCATGTACCTCATTCTACACTTGGGCCCCAAAGCTCCTATGCAGGAAACAGCTTAGCTACCCTAAACCCTAAACCCTAAACCCTAAACCCTAAACCCTAATCCCCTAAACCCTAAGCCTTAGAGCCCGAGTATGTCACTGGCCGAGCAACTCTTCCGCAGCAGTCCTTTCCACAAGCCTGGCTCTTGGGGGTTTGGGGTTTGGGGTTTAGGGCTTAGGGTTTAGGATTTCGGTGAGGGTTTCGGGTTTACACAGGGTTTGGGGTTTTGATGAGGGTAAAGGAGTTCTCAGGGCCGTTTTGACCTAGGACATAGGTTCTCCAGCAACCGAAGAGTGAAGAAGGGCGCTTCTTTCGGAAAGGCTTGATGGGCTTGCAAGAGAAGCTCAAAAGAGGGGGGAACAAGAGTAATTCTGATTTAGGGTTTTCCAGGATCCTTTCGCCCCTTTTCTTAGGGATCTAGGGTCCAGAGTAGGCCCTTATTCCCTTTTTGGGGGGCTTAGGTTTGGGAAGTACTTCCGAGAGTCATTGGGCTTTTGGGCTTAGGATTCAGGGAACTGCGGGATCTCCCTACACCCTAAACCCCAACCCTAAACAAACCCTAAACCCTAACCCTAACCCTATACCCTACACCCTGGTCGGCTTCTACTGAGACGTACCCAACAACATAGAGCCATGTTCACGTGTGTCTTGCAGGGATGATCCCCCACCCCAAGCCCTAAACCCTACCCCTAAACCCTAAACCCGAAACCCTAAAACATGAGCCCCAAGACGACCACTCAAGTCGCTTCAGGAGAGCACTCTCAGATTAGGGTTAGGGTTTTAGGGTTTAGGGTTTAAGGTTTAGGGTTTAGGGCTAGGTTCATGGAAACTTTCATGGATACTTCTAAGTAGGGTTAGAAGTACTTTAAGTGAAGTTTTAACTATAGTTGTCATGCTTATGACCCTACTTGTATATAAGTCAGTGCCCAACTGAAGCTCTCTTAGGGTACCTGCTGACTCAAGCCTCATGAAGCTGCACAGGACCGGGGCAGGAATGCAACTTTGCGCACACAGAAGGCGTGCCGCGGCATGCCGGGCCTGGGCGAGGGTGCGACTTGGCGTGCCTGCCGCGATGTGAAAACCGAAATTTTCAGCGATGTTTTCGATGCCGTCCGATGAGTGCGGGCTCTCCGGAAAGCACGACGCCTCTGCGAGAGGGCACGCGGAAAATGAGAGGGTCGTCGTTCGATTTGGCACGCGCACGTTGCACGTGAGACAGCATCCGGGCGCACCTCAAACAACGGGATGGTCGTGAGTTTGACGTCTCGGACACATGCACGTGCGCCGCCAAGCCAACGTGCCCGTTTCCTGTAGCCCCAAGTCAGAACTCCATAGTGCAAGCACTGCTGGGCAACAACAAAAGTTGTGGGGGTTCTTAACTCGACCCAGGAGTCACCTAGGAATAATCAGGGTACCCTTTTGGTGTTATAAGGGGATTAGAAGGGAAACCCCCCAACCCTAAAAAAAGGAAATAAAGGGCCTACTCCGGCTCCAAGCTAGATACGCCGAACACCTCCCCGCCCCTCTGTGGCGCCTGCGAAGCTGTTCTGGCGAAGATCAAAGCCCAAGCCACCATCTTGCACTGGCTTGCAGATGCCTACCGAGCAGCTGCATAGGTCTGCCCTCAAGCCTGTATAAACCCTCCCTAAATCCTATAGAAACCCTAGATAAAGCCTCGACAGACCCGACCTAAACCCTATAAAAACCCTACCTAAACTCTATATAAAAACCCTATATGAACCCTATATAAACCACAAGTACAAAGCTGGAACAAGAAGCTAAAGGCGAAGAAGTTCAGACACTTCGACTCAGACACCTCTAAAGCCCAAAGCTTCGTAGATCAAGGGGCTCAAGGAGGAACCCCTATAAGGGACCTTCGGGGTTGCTTAGGGGTCATGTAGGAGCTACTTAGGTATATAGGGACTATATCAGGTATATAGATAGGGGTTAAATCGTGGAACCTCCTTCTTCCCCGGGTGGAGGCCTTGGCCCAAAGCCTTACGGAAAACTCTGCGGCCTTCCAACCGAATTCCTTGGCACGTTGTGGCTTGCTGGGCCCTAACAGGGCTTGGGGGGGTTTGGGTTTAGGGTTTAGGGTTATTAGGGTTACTAGCGTTATTAGGGTTATTAGGGTTATTAGGGTTATTAGGGTTTAGGGTTGCAGGGTTAGGGTTTAGGGTTAGGGTTTAGGGTCCGAAAACACGAACCCGAACCCAAAGCCCTGAGCCTGGGAAGAGCGTGGGATCCTCTGCAATCCTTGGCCAGCCGCTGACGAGCGACGGCTGGTTGCTTTGTTGCGTTTGATGACTAGCTGCCAGAAGACGCACGGTGCAATCCAAACCCAGAATTATCAAACGAAGAAGGACAACGGTCAGGGCAGGGGGGGGGGGGGGGGGGGGGGGGGGGTTCGGGTTTAGGGGTTAGAGTCTTCGCATTACTGCTCCTTTAAGTTGTACTGGAATTCTAACTTGAGGATATTTAAGGGATGTTCCCTACCTAAGGTGCATTGGAGTCTCTGGGCTAGAGGGTAAAAATCACCGGAAGACCAGGAGAACAAAGCGTAGAGAAATGTACAGATAGCTGTCGGTATCGTTAGGGCTTACGTGGAGGTTCATGGGTAGTTATGAGTAGATTATAACTATGGTTCTCCTACTTCTGACACTACTTGGGCTGCTTTAAAAAAAGCTAAAGAAGCTAAGTACGGTTTAGGGTTTGGCGTTTTGGGTGGTTATAAGGATTGGGGTTTAGGGGTTGCTTGTCCCAGAACCCTACAGGCCCGAGACCCGAAAACATCCACGCAAAGTGGGCTTGCGGGGGTCCTGAAGATCGCGAACCCTCAATTTCCCTACACCCTACGCCCTCAGAGAACCCTAAAACCTAAACCCTAAACCCCAAACCCTAAACCTTAAACCCTAAACCCTACACCCCCTGAGCCCCGCGCATGGTGGCACTGGCCCCCAGTGACTGCGCGAGCTGCTCAGCCATGCCGGTCGCCAGCATCAAGTACCTTTGAGGTTTGGTTCTGAAAGTTTATGGCTTAAGTTTAGGGTTTAGGGTTTAGAGTTTAGAGTTTAGAGTTTAGGGTTTAGGTTGAAAGACGGGGCCTTTAGGTTCGTGTGTGCGGAGGTACGGCCCAAGGAAGCTCGGACTCCTCGATGCAGTTTCGGTTGTACGGGGTTGCTCAAGCTTCGCGGTTTACCCTACACCGTAGCCGAGACCCTAAAGCCTTTGGCAATTTGGGTTCTAGCGTTTTTTGGGTTCTGGGGTTTCGAGGTTTGAGGCGCAGGGCTTAGGGTTTAGAGCTTTAAGGTCAGTCCAATGTGAAATGCTGCCGAGGCGACTGGATGGCAGAGCTGTTCACATTGTTGGAGTTGTTGACATACTCGTCCAGCCTTGCTGTGGGTTTAGGGTTTAGGGTTTAGGGCTCAAGGGCCACCAACTGGGGGGCTCAGTCTCCGGGCCCTTCTCTTGGAGTCGGCTCCTCATGGTTTAGGGTGCAAAAAAAAACCTAAACCCTAAACCCTAGACCCTAAACCCTAAACCCTTAACCCTAAACAATAAACCCTCAAAAAGGATTCGGGATTTTGGGGGGCCAAGGCGCGGATTTTAACGCTCCCTTTGGGACGGCCAGTCGGCTTCGGCGAGCCCAAACTTTTTTGGGTTCAGGCTCCTCACCTACATGGGCTATTATACCTATAACCCCTTAAACAGGCCCTTTATAGGGTTGGTTAGGGAAATTATACGGCCTAATTGCCCATGCTCCTCAAGCAGACCGCATTTGGAAGCCCTTTTGACGTAGTAAGTCTACTTCCTAAACCCTATAACTACTAGCGCCACTTACGAAGTCAAACTTCAGAGGTACCGTACCCTGATTACAAGATCCTTCACCCCTAAACCCTAAACCCTAAACCCTAAACCAAAAAACATGCACAAGGCCACAGACCCCGAACGGCCCTGCGAAGCCACAAGGGTTCAGGGGCCCGCACACCTTGAGCTTCAGTGGGTGGCTGCGGAGGGGGTGTCATCATTCGGGTAGAACAGGGCACAGAGGCCTTTTAACTAGGGCAAATAGAGCACTTTAAGGGTGTCATTGGGGTTTTGGGTATAGAGGACTCTACGGAATTGTGGAGCATCTGCTTAGAACTTATATAGGGTTTCTAGGGCAAATAGAGCACTTTACGGGTGTAATTAGGGTTTTGGGTACAGTTAGAATTTATATAGGGTTTTTGTGGGTTTGTAGGGTGATGGAGTTCGGGTTCAACGTGAGGGAACCCGAAGTCAGGGAACCGAAGTCTTTGGGGCCCACACTCTGGGACCCGAAGTTTAGGGTTTAGGGTTTAGGGTTTAGGGTTTAGGGTTTAGGGTTTAGGGTTTAGGGTTTAGGGTTTAGGGTCTGGGACCCGAAACCTGCTTAGGGTTTACAGGGTTCAGGACACGAAGCCCTCCACCCTGTAGCCTTCTGTCACTACAGCTGAGGAGCTTCTTCGTGTCTTCCGGCAGCCATCGGCCGTATTGGGCGTAGATCTGGCGAGAGCTGGCAGGATTTTGCGTACCAGAAGCCTCCAGAGCCTCAGCCCTTACCTCTCCCCAACCTTACAACTTGGGTTCGGGTTTAGGTTTTAGGGTTTAGGGTTTAGGGTTTAGGGTAACTCCCCAAGCCCCAAGCCCTAAAAGCAACCCCAAGGTTGAGGCGGACAGAAAGCGCGAGAAAGCTTCCAGACGCCCACGCAGTTCAACCATCAACTTATAGTAGCGAAACTAGCGGAGTAGGTTCCCTACGTAATCCCTAAAGGGCTATATCGGGGATAAAGGGCTCTTAAAGCCCGAATCCCATTACGAACAAGCAAGCCGCAAGTGCGATCCCTTCGCCAGGGTTCTGTAGGCACCAGCATCCCTATTTCCTAAACCCTAAACCCTAACCCCTAAACCCTAAACCCTAAACCCTAAACCGCCCTATTCAGAGCTTGCAAGCAAGCAGCGACCCCATTGACCTGAACTCCAGGGTCTTCCTGGTGCGTTAAGCGGCCTTTGGTGACCTCTCCGGTTTCGCGTCATCGGCTCCACGTGTGTACGCTGCGCTTGGGCTGCCCCAGGCTCAGGCTCCCCTAAACCCTAAACCCTAAACCCCATACCCTAAACCCTAATCCCTAAACCCTAAACCCTGAACCCTAAACAACCCTAAACCCTAAACCCCAAAACCCTGAAACCCTGAAACGGTCATTTGCTGCCGCTTCCACTGTCGCCGCTGCAGCGCCGTCCGCCCTCCATCTTGTCTTTCCACCTCGTCGGGTCTGCCTTCCATCTTTTCATCTCGCCGTGTCCGCCTTCCATCTTTTCCGGTTTCCCAAAGAAGCCCTAAAAGCTAAACCCTAAACCCTAAACCCTAAACCCTAAACCCTAAACGGATTTAGGGTTCAGGGTTTGGGGTTGCGGTTATTGGTGGTTTAGTGGGGTTCCGAAACCAAACCGTCAATGGGAAGAGGGTCATGGGTTTTGAAGGGTCTTCCAGCTCATGTCTCATGTCCCCCACTGCGAAATCCCTCCTTGAAAAAAGGGTGCAAAAACCAACTGAAAACATTAAACAAGCTGTTATGGTAGGGGCGTAAACAAATAAAGTACCGACCCTTATACTTACCTGTGTGTGTGCGCACCGTATCGACTACGACGGCCAATATGGGGAGTGGTTGGTTCCAACCTTGGGTCCCCGAAAGCGCACATTCCATGAGTATGGAACACCTTTACCCAAGGTTTTAGCAAGTCACCTTCTTTAAGATGGCCCAAACCTTATAAGCCGAAACCCTGAAAACTGAGACCTTACCCCCTAAACCCTACACTGGCCGCTCCACTCCCGGCGCACCACGGACGACACGCGGTCGAAACGGAAACCGTCAAAGCCATACTCCACCTCAGCTGTATCGGCGCATGGGGTTAAGAGGGGTTCGGGTCATGGTGGAGGGGGTGGAGGGTTGAGGGTGTATGGTAACTCTTGGGAAACTTCCAGATAGCAGATACTCGGACCCAACAAACACCGAAGCACTCTCTTCAGATGTAGCTGCGAAGCGAGGGTTCTCTCAAGGTCTTGCGCCCATTTTTTTCATCCTAGGCTGCCCAGTAAGCTTAAAAAGGGTGCCCTCTTTTTGCTTAAAGGGGTTGATAAGGGAACCTAAGCCCCCCCTAAAAAAGGGAATAAGGGCACTACTGGGCATCCTAGCATCCATGGAGTTGCTGGACCGGGAGCGCAGACCATGGCTACACCTGTAAGCGCCTGGTGTCGACATATGTACGGAGGCCCCCAGGTCCTATACCCTACACCCGGGGAAGGCCAAGATGCCACTGGGCTGTTTCCAGTTTTCCTGTCCTAAGGGTTCTGAGAGTGTACGGGCTTATAGGGTGTAATGACGACACCCGAAACCCTAAACCCTCGTCTTCCCATGGAGTCTTTACGCCCAGGATCAAGGCAGAGCATCGGAAAACAGAGCCTCCGAAACAGGGTTTAGGGCTAAGGCTAAGGGTGAAGCAGTGCAGGGTTTAGGGTGTAGTATTTAGTGTGCGGACATGCCCACCCCCCAGGCCCACCCAATCACAACTCGCAGCGAGCCAAACCAGAGCCAGCCCAGACCAAGCCCAAAGCCAGTCCAAATCACATGTCAAACATGCTTCGGGGACACTTGAGTCACTTAGGCCACTTGGACACTTGAAATCTGAGGACACTCGAAATCCGCAATGCCTGTGGCGACAAAGGCTACTCTGCATACATGCTGTCCCCCCACCTCTTTCGTTCTGTCTCTCCCTCTCCCTCCACCTCCCAACCAAAACCAACAGAATAGAGAAACACTGTCAGGGAGAGAACATGAGAGAGAAGTAGTAGTAGCTCGTTTCACGTTGTGTCTGCAGTGGCATGAGAGCCATCACTTGTAGTTGCTGTGCCCTGTTTGCACATGGCGCCAGTTGCCTGATATGCTTTTCGCATGCCAAGGCCGTGTCACTTGGGTTTCTTGGGACCCTCGGGACACATGCAACCCTTGGGACAATTTTGACAAACTTCGGGCAAACTTTCTGGGGCTCGCTTGGAACACCTCATTGGGACACCGGGGCTACTTGGTACGCTTCGGAAATGCTCTTGGATGATTTGAGGACCTTTGGTCCAAGCATCACTTGGGTCACTTTGCACACTCTGGCAAACTTTTTCGCCAAGTTTGGGAACCTTGGGGTCATTTGTGCTTCTGGGTCACCTGGGGCCTCCTTCAACATTTGTGAGGGAACTTCCAGACAAAGCTCGGCATCTAGCTCGGACCCTAAACCCTAAACCCTAAACCCTAAACCCCAAACCCCAAACCCAAAACCCTAAACCCTAAACCCTAAACCCAACTAGCCTTAAAACCCCACCCTAAGAGCTCTAAGGGCACTAAGGGAATAAAATAACCCCCGCATGCACCGGAAGAAACCCTTGACCGCAAGGCCCTAAACCCCAAACCCTAAACCCCAAACCCGAAACCCTAAACCCCAAACCCTAAACCCCAAACCCCAAACCCGAAACCCCAACCCCACGACCCCGAAGCTTCCGCACCGGGATCCCGCGCCATCCAGTATGCCAAATTACCTCGGCTTCACCAAGCGAGGGTTTAGGCTTGGGCCCGTGGCGCAACCCGCAAGCGCGGCATCTCGCGCTGATAAGATTCCTCAACCCTAAACCCTAAACCCTAAACCCTAACCCTAAACCCTATACCCTAAACCCTAAACCCTACACCCTAAACCCTAAACAGCATCCTGAGCCACCAGTCGCAGATGGGGTTCGGGTTGGAGTCGGATGTGTTCAAGGTTCGGTAGCCTTGATAAAAACCCTAAACGATACTCCCCTTAGAACCTTAATAAAAACAATTCTTAATATCCTCTTGGGTTTTATATAAACAAGAAGAAAAACTAATTCCCAAGGGGGATATAGTAAACCCGAAGTGCAATGTCAAGGCCCCAATACAGGCGCCTGCAGGATTACCAAGCGTCTCCCGTAAAATTTCGCTTAAACCGCCATGCATGGCAAACTTTGCGAACCTCCGACTCGAAGAAGCACCTATAAGCCCTTTAAGCCCGAAAGTCCCGAAGTCACGTGTAAAAGTTTACCCCATCTTCTGCTAATCGACGCGTGGTGAGGAAGGCCATCTTTCAAGTTGCTGGGTTTTCCTGAATCCTGAATGCTACAGCAAAGTATGGCTGATGGCGAAGGGGAAAGGGCCCAACACTTTCTGATGCCTAGAAGAAACCCTGAACACCGAAAGCCTCTTGGCCCTGTTAAGCCCTCAGTGAACCTTTCCTGGATTCTTCGAGGGCCTTGATTCTGGGCCAAGTGGCTCAGGAGGAAGCGGACCACCTTGGTGCAAACCCGGGGTGAACGTCTCCGAGCTTGACTAGGTCTTTGGGTGTTTGAGGCTTGCCTAGGTCTGCTTTTCATCATGTCAGCGATAAGCCCTGAGAAATTGTGGGTTTGGGGTTTCCTAGGCTTACCAGAGACCCCAAAAGACCTTTCAAAGCCCTAGGATGCACACTCCCCATATCATAAACCCCACAGCTGACAGGCACTCTGGGCCGAAGGCGGCATTTCTGGCTTACTTCAAGCCACAGTCCACCGCCCGTCCATTTGCAACAGCTGTAGGGTTTCGATCGCTCATGCAGACTGGTATGTAAGGACCATAAGCTCCACTGCCAACCTTGTCGGCAACAGCAAGGCAAAGTCCATGGGTTTAGGGTTTAGGGTTTAGGGTTTAGGGTTTAGGGTTTAGGGTTTAGGGTTTAGGGTTTAGGGTTTAGGGTTTCCGAATGAGCACTTCCCAGCCAAAGCACCAGCACATGTCAACCACATCGCCTTGTGTGACCAGCGCCCTCCCCCCCTCCCCCCCCCTCCCCCTCCCCCCCCGCCCCCGCCCCCGCCCCCGCGCATAGAGCCCTTAGACCTCAGGCCAGCCTTAGGCTTGCGTAGATGGATATATGCGATGGGAGGAAAAATCTGCGATCAGATGCCATGCTTTATCTCCAGACCCGCCCTGCCATCTGACTTCATTGTCTCCTCAACTTGGGTCGCTTCTTTAGGGTTTAGGGTTTAGGGTCTAGGGTGCTTAGTCGCGCACCAAACTCGTGCAACACCAAGGCTGGAGCTCAGCCGCTCTTCAAACCCCCAAAGATAAAGGCTAGTTTCCATGGCTCCCTTACTGCCTAAGCACCTTACTGAGCTTTGCAATAAACCCTTTTGAAATGCATTTAAGGAAAGAGCGGACATTGAACTAACCTGCCAACTGTCTCCAATAACCAAAGCCACAAGGCCACAAGGTGTTGAACAGACTGCCAGCTTGCTTTGGGGTTTAGGGCTTAGGGTATTAGGGTTTAGGTTTAGGCTTTAGGGCTTTAGGGCTTTAGGGCTTTAGGACTTTAGGGCTTTAGGGCTTTAGGGCTTTAGGGCTTTAGGGCTTTAGGGCTTTAGGGCTTTAGGGCTTTAGGGACCTCAAACCCCTAACCTCTGCTTCTTCAACTCGAAACCTTCCGCCCCCAAACCCTGGTAACCCTAAGCCTTCAATCCCAAACCCTAAACAAGCCTAAGCCCTACACCTCAAACCCCAAGCCCTCCACGGCTTTGTGGCTTTAAGGCTCGGGCCTTAGAGGTTGTGATGCGAACGACTTCGGCAGATGTGCTATATATAGGGTTTGGGGCATAGGGTGTTGGGTCTCGGGTATAGGGGTTTAAACCCCAAACCCCAAACCCCAAACCCCAAACCCCAAACCCCAAACCCTAAACCCTAAACCCTAAACCCTAAACCCTGAACCCTAACCCCTAAACCCTAAACCCGAAACCAAGCCAAGGGACTTCCGGCTCCTCGTAGTCGAAAAGCCTGGACCGCAAAGGCTCGCAAGCGACGAAGAAGCCCACACTCCTAAATCCTAAGCGCTTAAGGCTTAGGGGTCCTAAACCCTAAACCCTAAACCCTTGACCCAGCGCAGGGTTGATGCGCGCCGCAGGGGCCCTTCGTCTAAAGCCTCGTGCCATAATATAGGTGCCCAATTTTCAGGAGCCGCTTTCCCCTAAAACCCCAAACCCTAAAACCCAAAACCCCCTAAAACCCCCAACCCCAACCCCAAACCCAAACCCCAAACCCTAAACCCCAAGGCCCTGTACGAAAAAAGCACGAAACTCTTCGCATGGTGAAACCGTCAACACGAATCGTGCAACCCCGATGCTTTAGTTTAGGGTTAAGGGTTAAGGGTTTAGGATTTAGGGTTTGGGGAAAGCATGGTAGCTATACTTAGCGTAAATCGGGGACCCAAAACAGCACTTTAGAACTATCCATGGACCTCGAAGTGTGGCACCATGCCGTAAACCCACCTTCCGACCCTACTTATATCCATCCCATAAAAACCCTAGCCCCGTGAACACCTGAACCACCAAGCGTAAACCTACGAAATCCCCTAAACCCGGGCTCCCTAAAACCTTGACCCCGAACTCCCTGAACGCCATCTAAACACAAGCCCAAAGCCCTAATTAAACCCTAAACCCTAAGCCCTAAACCCTAAACCCTACACCCTTTATCAAGAATGAACCAACAACTAGCTCTAAAAACACGCCCAGGGCCGTTAAACCCTAAGCCAAGAAGCCTCGCCCCGCTGATGGGATCTGTGGAGCCACTGGTGGTACCTCGACGATTAAGGGTTTAGGGTTTCGGGGTTTAGGGGTTCGGGCTTGAAGGTTTTGGGAGGACGGGACGGGGGGGGGGGGGGGGGGGGGGGGGGGGGGGTGGGTTGGGATTACTAACAGTCCTTCATAGGGACTTTCATAGGGGGTACTACAATCCCATGAAGGACTGTTCGTATAAGGGGTAACATCACAACCGGGTTTAGGGTTTAGGGTTTACGGTTTCGGGTTTCGGTCTAGGGCTTATTCATCCGCTCAGCATTCTGCGAACGAAGCCTCGTGCCGGCCTCAACCGATGAAAGCCTACTAGCCCCTAGACCTCAAACCCTAAACCTTAAACGCCATACCTGAAACCCTTAAACCCTACTCCAAACAATACTCTAAACCCTAAACCCTAAACCCTAATACCTCAGGGAATTCTAAGACCTGCCGAGGGCACGGAAGTAGTGCTCGGGCAGGCCGTCATCACACCAGGCCGCCCCCTTTCGTGAAAAAGGAAGGGTTTAGTTAGGCTTAGGGTTTAGGGTTTAGGGTCTAGGGTCTAGGCCCTTGGCCGGACCATTCACAACTGCTGAGGGAGCGTGGCCCCAGGGCTTAGGGGGGCTACTCGTGAAAGGGGCTGGCATGGCGGTTTAGGGTTTAAGGCTTCGGGTTTAGGGGTTAGGGTGTGGGAAGCCCCCTAAACCCAAGAATCTCATCCTAGGCAGATGGATAGAAGGACCCTGGTAGCAAAATTCCTACAGAGCCCTCCACTCTGCAAGATAAATGCCATTTAACCCGAAATCCCTAAATGCCCTAGATGATTGGGCTCAAAGCCTAATGTAGGGTCCGGATTTAATTACTAATAGTATTAAAAAATAGTGTCCCTTTGTACTTATACGATAATCGCCCCCCAAAACACTATTCTAATTATTAGTAGGGAATGGGGGAATGAGGTACCCTATATAATCCCTTTTAAAGGGTATAGATAGGGCCCTAATTCCCTCATTCCCTGCTAGCCAACAGTGAGGAATGTGCTTTCCGGTGCGTTTTCCTCGGGACTGTAAGGCGTCTTTGGCTTGTACATGGCTGGCCCTTTGAACCTCAAAGAGAATGTGCTCTGACAACTTCTGTATTGTAAAGGAGATGTGTTTCTTCGAATGATTCGAGTGTAAGTTGCTTTCTTGCATGTGTTTTACAGGGGCGTGTTTCTTCGAAGGCAAGGTGCTCTCTTGTTTGCTCACAGGGATCTTTCATGCACCGTGCGCGTAGACCTCTGCAATCGATACGACGGACTCTCGACCATTACCTGTCGGGTACGTTGCATGTCGCCTCGATCTCGTCGGGCGGGCCAAGGCCCCTAAACCCTAAACCCTAAACCCTAAACCCTAAACCCTAAACCCTAAACCCTAAACCCTAAACCCTAAACCCTAAACCCTAAACCCTAAACCCTAAACCCGGACCACAGGCTTGAACATTTTCGTCACGCGTTCCAGGTTTGCATTTTTGCGGCGTTGGTCCGATCCGGCCCCTCTCCGAATATCCGCAGTTCTAAAACAAGGGGTTCAACAAGGGTGTCGGGTTCAGGGTTTGGGAGTTCGGGTTTTCGCGTTGAGGGACAAGATGACCGGAAAGTAGTGTCGTTTCCTTCTAGGGGCTCCGAGTCCTTCAGACAAAGACTGGCCGAGGCCACAGGGGGGCGCGCTCTGGGTACTGATTCGAAACCTCTCACCCCACACACTAAAAGGGCGAGAAAAGGAGCGCAAGGAGGGTGCCTAAATCCTACCAAAACCTGATGCCGCCTCGTGCGAGGGGCTCATGTAGACGCGGAGCCCCGCATTGTGTGCCTTGCCAGTGTAGGGGCTAGGTAAGGGTTTGGGATTTAGGTCTTAGGGCTTGGGGTTTAGGGTTTGGAGTGGGTACATAGAGGATGATCCGGGGGTGTGAACCAAATTTGCAACGTAGGTGCAGGCCTCAATGTTTGGGAGCCTGTAGGGGTTCACCCTAACCCCGAACACTTCAATCAGCGGATGAGAAAACCTGGGATCTCGAAGCACCCCTGATCCCTAAATCCAAGACCACGGCTGTGCCTTGTGTGCCTTTGAGTGTTGTGTCTGATGGTTGAACGTAGCTTAGGGCCCCAAACAAGCACATAAACGAAAAAAATCTTGGGAAAGGGATATCCCATATAAACCCACTTCTAATGAAGCCCAATAAGGTAGGGATATCCCTATACAATGCTTATGCTTATGTCCTGTTAGGGTCCCGAATAGCTGCTTGGCTCTTGTGTTCGTTGGGCACCATCCGAATCTTGAAAGCGGCTGCACCAAGGATTTAGGAATGTGGCCAGCTTGGCCAGAGGAAGCAGCCTGCTACTTGGACCTTCCTGGGTAGTAACATAAGTAGGGTTCTAAGTAGCCATGCGTAGGATGATGCTGTAGTAGTTCTTATCACCCTACTTATAACGATCCACGAAGCTCCACGTGTGGCTTACGGTCTCAACCGGATCGTGTGAGCGCTGCTCTCCCTTTCAGCGCTGCCGGTGCCTGTAACCCTCCAGCTGTCTGCAAATGAAATTTGTTGGGCTTCGGGTTTAGGGTTTAAGGTTCAGGCAGAAGCCCAAAGAACATTCTCCCCTGACATTTCTCCCTCCGCCATTAAAACGAAAGTACTCAGAGGTGCTTCTATCATGCCTGTGATGGACCTGGAACTAGCACGCTCGGTGCTGTGTTCGGGGGGTTCTTACTCTTCAGCGAGGGCAGCCCGACTGTCGCCCTCAGACACACAGAGCCCCTTATAGACGAAGCGCGGCAGATTGCAAGAAAGGATGTAGAAAACTCAGCCCGGGAGGAGGGTTGAGGGTGCAGGGTTCAGGGTTTAGATTGCTTGGTGCCCTGTTTTGCTACTCGGTAATAACTTATAGGAATTGGGGAATTGGGGGGGGGGGGATCTACACCCCAAACCCTACACCCTTGGGGAGATCTACTTTCTGGGTTCTGGCTACTGGGTGGCAGGGCCTCTGCCACAAAGTCTTGCAAGTCCTCGGGCGTGCCGAGCATGGCGCAGGGCGCGAAGTAGGCGCAAGGCCTGAGGGGCGGAGGTGGGTGGGGGGTTGAGGGAGTGGGTGAGAAGTTCTCCGGATGTCGTAGGAATGTCAAGGAAGCCACCACCTGAAATCGCCTGGGAGTTCCCGTTCCCGAAGCCTGCACCCGCCCCCACTCTAAGCCCTAAACCCCAGCCCTAAACCCTAAACCCTAAACCCTAAACCCGAAACCCTAAACCCTAAACCCGTGAATTAGGGCCCTGGCTGGGCGCCCATCATGGCGTAGCTCTTGCACTCCTCGTGTCAAGTTGCTCCTAAACCTACTAACACAGGGACCGGAATAATTGGAATAGGGTGTTGGGGGGAATTATAGTCTAATTAACTATAAAGGGACCCTAAGGGGATACTATTAGTAATTATAAAGGGGCCCTAAGGGGATACTAGTAGTAATTATTCCGACCCCTAGATTGTACACACCCCCTCGAGGGTGTAAGGT